TTCACATATTTTGCATTTTGCAATGATTTTCTCTAAAGAAACACCATCTCCTTCTTGTAGCAGTTTTTCTCTAATTTGTGTGTTATTTATTCCACAAATCAATACTGTTTTGGCTAATTCATCCTGAAGGTTTCCCAGCTTACAGGTCCTTGCTATTTGTTTTATTTCAGTTACAAATTGATCCAGTGTTTGTTCTGGCTGCTGTTTGGATGAGAATAATTTGTACCTGTCATATGTAACACTTTCTTTTGGCAAAAAGTGGGTTTCAAACTATTCTAGCAATATCTGAAATTTGTTTTTCTCATGGTCTTCAAAACAGAATGTGGTGTATATTCTGAAACTTTCCTCCCCATTGAAGTGCAACACCTATGCACCGCTTCCTCTTTTTATTTATTTCGGTGGCTACCAAATAATTTCGAACCTGCACCGCCAAATCTTCCAGTTCTCAGCTACATTGCCCGTCGTTTGCATTGTTGGTACACCCGTTGCCACCCATTCTTGTAGGTTCTTATCTATGTTGTTATTAACACATAAACAAACTCACAACTGCGCCATGTTGTTTTGTTCTGTGGATCACAGACTACATACTATTGGATCGTGGTTATTTGATTATTAACACAAAATATACCCCCTTGGGGTATGTTCCGTGATTATTAATTAAAACACTTTAGTATAGCTTTGCCATTATGCTGTATATTCTTAACCTTACCTCTGACCATACATCCACTGTCTGTCATCAGGGTGACCACACTGAGAAATGACAATGTCGCCAAATGCAGACTTAAAAATCGCCGGTTTTGGCGCCAAGTAAATTCAAACGGGGTAAACCAATAAAAACAAAGCGGAACGGTTTAAATTACGCAAAACTTTAGTTTTTCTAACAAGTTGAATTGAAATTATATATGTTTACTTGTGTGTCTAAAATATATTAATGAGAAATTGTCGCCAATGACAAAAATGTGTTGCCAACATAAGCGAAAAATCGCCAATTTGGCCACCACCTGGTCACCCTGGATTCTCATCCAGGGTGACCAGGTGTGATCCAGGTGACCAGCAATGTAATATTCCTCACTTTTGCAACGATGCCAGTGTTTCCAGTTTCTTAAACTGGGTTTCAATAAACGCAGTTTGTGAAACGTACCCGTATAAGCCTTTTTCTATGAACGTACCGAAGCGCTGGTGAAAACTGGCCGCTTTTAAACGCGTTTAACTTCGGCATTTAACATAAACTTAGTTTTATCAAACTGCGTTTTGCTGGTTTCTGATAAAATGTGCCTAAGAATCTAGAGAACTATGACAAAGCTATATTAAAGTGTTTTAATTAATAATAAAATAACCACGATCCACACAACAAAACAACACCGGCTGTAGCACCTAACCGCAGCGTCCCGCTGATAACCTCACTTTCATTAGAAAGATCAAATAAACATGAGCACTTTTCAAAAAGTAGCCGGTTTCTGCAGCAATTGCGGCTCAATATTGCCCCCTTTGGGGGACACTGGAAACATCACTTGTTACACATGTTCCAGAGTGTTCGAGCCTGAAAGTAAGTTCTGATTTTCCTCACGGGGCTGATAGCGACTAACTGGTTTGACTTTAGTGCTTATTGATGAAAAATCCACCGTTAGCTATTCTGTCCACTTCAATTCGCGTGCTGCCAAAGCGCACAGTCATTCCGCGCAAGGGGAGAAAGAGGCTGATGGGCCGACAGTGGAGCGAAGGTGCCCCAAATGCGGCAACGACACCATGTCTTACGCCACCTTACAGTTAAGATCGGCCGACGAGGGTCAAACAGTGTTTTACACTTGCACTAAGTGCCAGTATAAGGAAAGTGAAAACTCTTAGGACAGCATTAAATACTTGCTTTTTCTCTATATCGGCATGTTTTAATATCATTAGTCCAGTTCTATAACAGTTTCCTTGGTATACCACAGTTGCTTGTTCTCGTAATAGTGAATCACCACTTCAGGGCAGCGGACATTTACTTGGCTGGCCGGCACTAAGTCCGCCTCTTTGCAGTTTTTCCACTTCATGAGAAAGAGGAGCTCGCCGCTTGCGTCTGTAGCCCCAACAATTTTCAGGGGCTCTAGCCCCCTATCGAAACCTGCAACGAACAGAAGCTGACACCAGCCCTAACATTCATTCTTAATCAGTACCTCGCGCTCTGTTATCCTCGCTGATGTTCTTCCGCTTGTTCTTATCCTCAGTGTCTGCAAGAGTTTGGGCAAATCGCGACTCATAGGCAGCAATCAGATCGGGACAGTCCAGGTTCTCTTCAGGTTCCCATGTGTTGTCTTCTCTAAAGCAGTGCTTGATGAAATGAACTCCTCTAACGAGAAAAAAGAATCTAACTTACTCGCTATATCCCTTCCATTTGAGCAAATACTCGATCTTCCCGTCCCTGGTTCGCTTATCCAGGATTTTCTCCACAGAAAACTCTTCGGTAGGCTGGTTTGAAGAACCAGCAGAGGCCCCATCTTCCCTTTGGCGTGCTAAAACGAAATTGGTCCCTGTTCAGGTTAGGCGTGTGTACTTTTCGGCTCTCACCAGGTCAGTAACCTTTTGGCAAACACCTAATTGTTTAAACACTTACTTTTTACCATTGTTCGTTTTTTGGTTTTCTTCTGGCAGTCTGTGCTTTTGCCTCACCAACAAAGTATTTATGTTTTCATCGATGCCATAAACAAATATCTAATTTAACCTTAAAATAAGTGACAAGCACAGAACATTCTCCTGAGGGATATTCTGTGGTGCCATGGGGCCAAAGGTTTCCGAAAAAATGTAGCGCTGGCGTCAATTGGAGGTAATCGTGTTTCGAGGCATTCAGAAAATTATTTATTATTATAATTTAATTACTATAATTTTTTTTTGGTGTAATGGACCAAAAACTCTAATTTTTTTCATTCGTAATGCAATGAAAAATAGGAAAAAATGTTGCGCGAAGGTTGTATAAATTCAATAAAACTTTAGAGGCATTGTAGAAGTCCTTAAGGGTAAATAATCGCCAAATTTGCAAGCAGAAAAGCGAGCGACAAACCTGTGTGTTTTTTGCGCTTAACTCAGTTAATATGCGAAAAGTAGCATAATTTAACATTTTGGACAAAATTAAATTATTTAAATTCTTTGTTTCAAGACATTCATTCGCATCTAAACCGTTTCCAAAATAAGCAACATTAAAGTCGAGCTGCTGTAAAATCAGCATGTTCACTATGCAGGGCCGAATTAACCTATAGTAGGTACCGGGGCTGGGATCCCTGCATTTTTTGATTTTGTGAGGCCCGGGGCTTGTCCCGGAGCCGCCCCCCCTAGATCCAACGTTGGCACTAAGGACATTAAATTACGTGGATTTGTCTAATGATGGTGAGAAAAACTTGAAACGTCGCACATTTGTTCCAAAGCAATTTAATTTAAAAAATAATAATTGATTGACCAATCAAACGACGGAATTCAGACTGATTTTAAAGGCAAAATCCACAAGATTCTGCGGTACCGAGTCCTGATAGCATACGTAAAGCTCCTGGGGATGAGGCGTATAGAACAGCCGCCTAAATCATAAAATAGCACAAAAGGACGCAAAAAAACCCACTTGCCTAATATTAACTCACCCTATAACCCAGTAGGCGATTTTCGACCGTTTCGGCTCTGCACTGGTCGGACACTCAAACAACATCCCGTACTCCTTGATGGCAATCAGGCTTTTGTTCATCAAGGACTTGGCGATATCCTGAGCGGGCAGGCTCTGGAAAAAGCATATAAAGCTCCAGTTAGTCTATCATGGAATTGAATTTCTTCCCATTGTTCTTCAAGCCAGCAAATTTCCTTGAAATTCCGAATTTCTTGGACTTTACCTTGAAGCGCAAAGTGCTCTGGAAGAGATCGTGGATGTTCTGGCAGCACCGTCGGAAATTGTTCATTATCAGGGGGTACATTTCGTACTGAAGGTTGCATTCCAGTGGCGTAACAAGCATACCTTCAGTGCTGTCCAGTTGAACGAAGTGAAACAGCACGTTGTGCCTGCCGCAGGTGAGTTGCACCGGCAAAAACCCGCCCTGATCGGACAGCAATGACTGCCGAATCTCCGACAAATCGCAGCTGCTGCTACTGATCTGACTGCCATCCTGCATAGTGAAAAACCATTCAAGTTTTACCACCGAATCCCCATATAGTGACTGAGCAAATCACCCCATAGTCATCAAAGTCGGAATCCTCTTCAGAATCGTATTTGAGGTTGCGGTTTCTGCTCAGCGACTCGTCGCTGAAGCTCTGGCTGGACGCCTCAGAGTAGGCATCAAAAGCGTCCTCGTGCGGCGCCGCCAAGACGTTCTGATCGGAGCTGCGGCGCTTCAGAATGGAAATCACCTCGCTTTTCTTGGCGGCAGGCACCGAAGGATCTTTTAGCTGAGACTGCGTGGGGCTGCTCTTGGAGAACCCCAAAGAGCCTGCAAGCAGCAAGATGAAAACCACAGATAGTCTGGGAGAGGGCGCTTGCCCCACCGATAAAGTCGCTTTTTTTCTTGTTGACTGGCGGAAGAGGGGCGGCAAGCTGGAAGCCGCCGTTGGCGGCCAGAAAGCGCTCCGCCACCACCCCGAGCCCCAGCGCCTGAACGTGCGCTAGTGTGGCTTGCGCCTCCTCTACGTAGAAGGCGTCAGGCCCCATGTTTTCTTCTGAAGGCTCCGTTGCGCCCCCTGCTTCCATTATCACGGTCAAAACATCCTGGAAGTGCAAAGTGCCGCTTACTCTCAACTAGTAGGTTTTGCATAGTTTCTACCTTTCCAGCCCCCACAACTAGCAGATACCGGCGCCCCTCTGGAATATGGACATCATCCAGACCCTGCACCTTGCAGGACTTGGGGTACACCTCCTTCCATAACACCAGCGACTTAACCGGTTCCGTTTTAGCCAAATGGACCAGGCCTTGGAGCTTGCAGAACGTGAAAACGTCTACCAGGTCATCCTGCATCAAATGCGAGTGAAGCAGATAGCCGGAGTGAAACAGCGCGCTTCCTAGTATAGTGAACAGTCGCTGGCAATCCAGCGGGTCTTCGTTCTGCTCCGACAAAAACTCACCCATAAAGAAAAGAAAAAAGCCCGGAAGCCTCAATTACCCATTCTCGGTAGTCGCTCGCTTCCAGCTCAGTCAAAGCTTCGTCCAGTTGCGTGATCGCCTCGTCGTGCAGCTTCAAAGTGGGCACCACCGGCATAATGCCCTCGAAGCTGCAGCTGTTCGGATTGGGTGAGAGATTGGGCTGGTACTCCAGGAACTGTTCGATGGTTGTCCAGTCGTCATTACAGATCAATTTAGCAAAGTACCTTTAATCAAAAAATAGCCTTAGACAAATTACCAAAAACAATCTTGAAAAAAATGACAAAATTGAAATTAAAACAACCCTAAATCAAAATCTCATGTTTATGATAACAGGAATTCTTAAAGGATATCCAGAGAAAGAATTGGAGCGGTCAAATTATGAAATAAGGAATGAATTGGGAGAGAATGTTGAACAAAATTAAAGTTGTGATGAAAAGACAATGTCGAAAGGAGATAAAACAATATTGGATTCTGGAAGCACCTGCAAACATAACAAAATGGTTCTTAAAAAACGGGTAAGTTTTTTTGCTCTGAACAGTGGTAAAGTTGGGGATCATTTTTACTTTCCTATATGTTTTAAGTGCAGTGGTTTTGAGCACGTTGCCAAATATTGTCACCAAGAAAGTTGTTGTTGTCACAAGTGTAGAGGGGCTCATGAAGCTAAGGCATGTAATGAAAAAATATATAAATGTCCCAACTGTGCCAGAATGAAACTACAGGAGCACTCAGCCAGAGATTAAAAATGCCCTGTTTACAAAAGAAGGCTAGAAAATTACAAGAGAAGTATTAACTCTAACACTTTTTGAAATGTTAAGAAGCAGGAAATAAAAATCAGTGGATCAAGATCTTAATTTTGAAAATGTAAGCAAGTATGAATGTGAAGTGGAAGATGTTGAAACTCTCAATAAGACAATAATAAAGAGAGATAATATTATTTTGTACCTAAATATAGGAAGTCTGAATGCGAATTTTGAAAAATTGTAAACTTTTATTGAGTGTTTAGCAAATAAGCCATGTATTATAATATGACTAAAACCCGGAATTTGCAATAGCCTCAATTTTATCAACTACAGGGTTATAAAAGTTGTTACAATGAAAGTAAAATCAATAAGGCGGATAACGTCTTAATATACAGGGTGATTCACAACCTTTTGGACACAGAGCAGGGGCGTGTAGAGGACCTCAAAACCAATCGAGTTTCCATTTAACTTTTTTTCTCAGGCCCATGGTTAACGAGATACAGAGTGTTAACCATTAAAAAAAATGGTATTTTGGCTTTAACTCCTACAGTTTATGGGTATGTGAGTATATTTTGCTTAAATGTTTAACGTAGGCTAATGTTAAGACCCTTTACCCGTAGGTAAGGCGACTTGTTGTGAAAATCTACAGGGTGTTTTTTGTAGAGGCATTTTTACCCCCGAACTTTTTTGTGGTGTGCCACTGACTTCGACCGAACATATTTTTGCATTTGTTGTTCAATTTAAGAATTTTCTAATCTCTTGCAGTTTTCTCATATCTGTCTTCGTTTTCGAGTAATTTGCACAAATGTAAGTACATGTTTCTGGGTGACTTTCCATGAATTTTTTTATACATTTTTTTGTGTCCTTTTGCTCACATTTTTCTGTGAAAGGTTTAAGTGCAAGTTGAAGTTAAAATAGCGATGGCTGACGCGTTAACTTAAAATTTATTTTCTTTTCTTTAATTTAATTTAAAATCATTGAGGTTTATCAGCTGTAAGCTAATCCAAATAAAAATACACAAAAATGTAGCGAATATTTCAATTTATTATAAAATTAATTTCGCTCGGAAAAAAGTGTGAACAAAAGGACGTAAAAAAATATAGTAAAATTCATGGAAAACCACCCAGGAACCCTACATGGACTTATATTTGTGCAAATAACTCGAAAACGAAGACAGATACGAAAAAACTGTAAGAAATCAGAAAATTTGTTCGATAGAAGTCAGTGGCGCACCACAAAAAAGTTCGGGGGGATAAAAAGGGGTATACCTCTAGAAAAAAGAACGCCCTGTAGATTTTCTCAACCAACCCTTACCTACGGGTAAAGGGTCTAAATATTAGCCGTTTATTACGTTAATGATATTAATTTTTAAATCTGATAAGTCTGATTAAGTTTAACTAATGATATTAATTTTGTTAGATTTTAGTTTCATCTTTAGGTTTGTTCCATACCTATGTACAGGCAACTTTGTTTGCCTCTATAGAATGTCTTAAGGCATATGTATATATGGACAATAAATAAATAAATAAATAATCAACAGAACAACTAAGTACTTCCTTACCTGAACAGGACCAAATCAACCTGATCCTGCTGCTCGGAAAGGCCGCGGTCGACATCCCCAAAAGTAAACTCCAAAAAACTCAGCAGCTCAGCGTTCATCAGCACCACTTCTTTTGAGCTGGCGCGCTCGTCTGGCAGCATAAACAGCAGCAATCTGGAGCTGCGCCTCGTGTAGACCACATGCAGCAGCTTATCCTTGTGCATGATGCAGCTGAGCCTAGACGGAGTGCTTGTAATGTCTTCCACTAGGTGGCTCAGGGTGATAAACATCCCTCGGGCGCAACTCAGAAGGTTCTTCTGAGCCGGCTTGGGGAAGCAGTAGATGATGTCCTCATTTGCCTTGTTGCTCTCATCCAGCTTATCTAAGATGTTTCGTTAAGCTTCATGAAACTTCGGATTGATTTTTTGTCACCTATATTGATATAGACCAGTCCAACAGGGAAACGGCACATCTTCGGAAGCAGCGCCTGATTGTCTTCCAGTTTGGCGTTCAGCAAGTCCCTAACAAAGGCCGACTCCATGTTCAGCGTGTTGATTGGCGGATCTTTCGTTACCTCAGTTGCTGCCACTCTTTGCAAGGTAAGCACCACCTAAGTTGCGCCATTGGGTGCGATTAGTGATAGAGGAATTTCGAAATAAATTACCTCATCGTGATTGATGAACTTTTGCAAACTGTCGTCCAAATTGTGCACGTTCACCTCGATGCTGTTGATTGACTTCAGCCAGTCGCCTATTTTGATGTTGCGCTCGTTCTTCGCCTTGCTGTCGTAGGAAAAGCCTGGAAGAACAGCTCTAAATAACCCGAATTCGCCTTTCGAGATCGCACAGCGGATTTACCGGCAATCATGACGCGGTTTCCATCAGATAAAGTGCTGATAATCAGCCCGAGAAGGCTTTCAGCCAATGACGTGTAGCTCGAGAGATTGTACCTGTTGGCTCGGTCTATTTCCAAAGTCACCTCCTTTTCTTCGCCCTCTTGAAAGTCTTGGAACTTCACCTTTTGGGTGTTGATTTCCAGGCCTTCAAACATCAGTTTTCTTGCAGTAGTAAAATATGCAGTTAAAATTCATCACCCTGCTAGTGCACTTACCATCTTCCAACGGCTTTTGGCTTTTTTTCACTCGCTTGCTTTCGCGCCGTCTGAGAAGCCGCAGAAACTTGCCTCTGGTGCTTCTTCTGAGTTGCGACTTGGCGAAAGGATCCGGCTCTTCCTCAACCTTGCTTTTGAAGCGGTTGTTCGTGACAAAGGGATGGCAATCGATGTAAAGCAGCTCACCCGAAAAATCATCAACAAACGGTTCCCAATCGGGTATCACGCTGCTGGAGAAAAGGTTCATTTTTGGCCCATCATTCACGGGGTTGGCAAAAAGCAGAATTTCGTGTCATTTAAGTCAATTGCAATTGCACCTTCCTACCTGCTCTGGGTTGGAAGTGCGTAATTTTTAAATAAAAGGGCGCAGTTGTTTCCAATTTTGCAATGTTTCCTAGTTAGAATTTGAGTGCCACGACTGTTTACTAACTGAAAGTGCTGTAACAATCTTAGGAACGTACCTGTCCGACTCAGAATCTGAGTACGAGCTATCGCTATCTGACCAATCCTCGGGAAAAGGATCCTCAGTTTTGACGTCTTTGAGGGGCAACAACCTTTGGGACTCCATTTCCGCCACTTAGGAGCAATTTTGCTTGAATATCTAGGTTTAATCAAGGGAGCATTCCCTATTGGGGATAACAAACACACTGTTTTCAAACAATTCAGTTATCTAGTGTTTACCTGTGGTGTTTACAAACAAGCAATGTTTGTAAATTTATCTGACGTCTAGACTAAAGTAACCCCACTTTTAGGCTGGCCGCATTTTTGGAGGTTAACGCCCCCTGCTTCCTCCTAGGTTAAGGATTTCACTGTTTTGTTCTGCCCAGTTCTGTCACAATCATATAAGCCGTGCTCTATGGTCACAATCACAGACTACATACTATTGGTCACAATCATGTCTTGTTTCTATGGTCACAATTCTATGTTTTGGAGAGATTCTGGATTTAATATATTTAAGTGATTGATTTGCTGTTGTGCAAAAATGTTTTCGGGCGGCGACTCCACTGGGTCCCCAAAGTGCACCCAATGGGCGATGAATCCAGCAGCATATCAGAACACCGCCAACGACGAGGTGGATTGGGCAGCTCTGGCCCAGCAATGGATTATTATGAAAGAGGCAGGCCCACCTCCCATTCCGGGGGGCCCCGAGGTAAATCTGCGAAAAGCCCCTCCGCGGCTTTTGTTGACGCACTTGAATTCCGCCAAGCTTGATAAGGGCAAGACGCGTTCGGGGGGGCCTCTGCCGCCTGAAGGAGGAGAGGCTGAAATGGAGATGGACAATGAACGGGAAGAGCCTCCCGCTTGGAACCCTGCAGGGTCGGACAATCCGCCTCCGGCTCCTGGTTCGGATTCTTGGGCCACATGGAATCAACCTCCGAGCCAGGGCTGGAACTGGACTAGCAGCTGGAGCTCGCCCACTGCGGTTCCGCCACCCATTGTGGTAAAGACGCCTCTGCTGCCTACTCCCAACCGAATGTTTCCGACATCTGATGCCGGCAGCGACAATGCGGTTCCCTATGGGGGTATGAATGCACACTCCAGTCTAGGGAGAAGGGATTTCACTGAGAAACTGTCCCTGATTTCAGGCTACAACAGTAACTCGCAGTCATCCAATAACGACTTCAGCCATCCGCCAGCCTTCTGGACCAACATGGCAGTTAGCAAGATCACCCAAACCGAAATTAAGCCGCATAACAAGAGGTACAGCAAGGTGAATGTGCCGACAAAAGTGACCATAATAACGCCCGCGGGTGCGGTGGAGCCCCATTTGCCTCCTCCCGCGGTTGTTGCTGAGGAGCCTGTAGTTCCCGCACCTTCTGTTCCTGTTCTGGACGCCAACAGGAGGAAACAGTTGCCAGCCTGGATTAGAGAAGGCATGAAACTTTTCAATATTTTCACTTTCTGCTACTGAAAATGGTGGTCAATTTGCAGGACTGGAAAAGATGGAAAGGGACAAGCTGAAGCAAATGGAAAAGGAAAAAGAGAAGCTCGCCAGAGACGATTATACGGAAAAGGTGAAGCTCGAAGAAAAGGAAGCAATGGAAATTTTGAAGAGCACAATCCAAGAAAAAAACCTGCTTAAAAAAAGCCGCTTTGTAAGATGACTCTGGTTGGTTGAAGAGGGTTTTCTTTATTGGCCTTTTGCGTACAGGAAAGTGACCACGAACAATCAGACGACGAGCCTCCAAAGCGGACCGTCCGAAAGGTGTCACCCCCGCCCCCAGTTCCCCTCTCCCAAGACGAACTGGTAAGCCTCAAATTATTCCTCAAAACCTCAAACCAGCTAGCGTCGCTTTGTTTAGATGATGAAAGTGCGCAAAACAATGACGGAAATCCTGCTGAAAGTGACCAACCAACTGATCGAGCAGGCCTGCAAAGAGGAACGGCAACGGTATATTAAAAAACGCAGAGGTATTGTAGCTTTTAGCCCCCTTAACCGTCAACAAACACTTGTTTGTTGGGATCTCAAACAGTGCAATGATTTTTTGTGTTCGAACAGTGAGACTTGTTTTATAAATTCGCAAAGAAAATGGGTAAGACACGTGGAAATTGGCGCTGCTGGTTTTATTTTCGATGTTGCAACCTCATGGTTCCCCCCCAGTGGCGGAGGGTAAGACGCTGGGGTCGTTCAAGTAGGAGAGCGCCCAGCTGCCACTACTGGATGCGCTGCTGCTTGAACGGAATTCTCATTTTTTCTAAGCCTTTTTATAATTTATGTACGAAGCATTATTGAAAAGGTCTTATTAAACTTCAGCTTCCGATGAGCTAGCATCAGCACCGAGTGGTGCCGCCATTAAAGCCAAACTCGGTAAGTGCCCCCTTAGCTACTCTACCCTCTAATTTACTGCTAGAAAAAAAGCCAAAGTCCCGGGATTGGAGCCTAACCGGACTTTGGCTTTTGCATAGAGTTTCTCGGTGTGGAAAGCTTGGATTTATTGAGACAAACTGTGTAGGTCTGGGAGTCTATGCGGATGACTCAACAAGCAGTGAGGACTCTGGGAGCGAAGACCGGCGCGATGAGAGCTCTGATTCGGAAAGCGAACTCAAAGTAAGCATGGGACGGGATAGTCAAAAAATTAACTTTAGTGGTTTACTTCCAGGAATCGATTAAAAAGCGGCAGGCGGCCTTTTCGAAAACTGAGCAGGAGATCAAAGAGCGACTGGCCGATGTGGAGCGCAAAAAAGAGTCTAAACCCAAAAGTCCGAGCCACAGCAGTAGATCATCGAGCGCGGACGCACGCGAAATAGATTCACAGGTAGAGCCAAACACGCAAGGTCAGTATGGGGGGCATTTTTTCTACCCCACCCTTTCCACAAACCTGCCGAATCCGCCCATCGAGATTCATGGGAAGTTGGAAACTAACTGTCTGGATGGGTTTTTTGTTCCGCAGGCAATGCCAAGGAGGAGGAGATTCCCTCGAGTAACAAGGCGAAGCCAAAGCGCCGCTCCTCTTCCAGCTCTAGAGCCTCTTCCCGATCCAGGAGCCCTGCGAGAGGTCGCAAGACCTCTCGTTACTCGCCGAAGAAGCGCTCCAGGTCGCTAAGTACCGTTAAAAGCTCGCGCAGGGGCAGGTCGAAAGAAAGTTACCGAAGAGACAGCATTGACTCAAAGAAGCGTGGCAGACGGTAAGTGTCAAAGCAAAAAATTCGAGCTGGAAGAACACGCTGAATGAAAACTTTAGTTCCAGATCAGGCTCCCGCTACTCAAAGCGCTCTAAAAGGAGTCGTTCGCGCTCAAGGTCGTACTCAAAAATGGGGCGGCGATTACGCCGCACCAAATCACGTAGCAGATCGCGCGATCGACCACATCGCTCGCATAAATCAACCTTATCAAGATCGCACGACGCCAGGAAACGCTCCAGACGGTCCAGATCGCGCTCATGCAAAAAGTCGCCGTCGCGCTCCAAGCGACGCTCTTCCAGATCATCCAGTCGCGGACGCCGCTCGCATCGACGCTGAATACCCGAAGTATCCAAGATTATAGGTTGGGTTGTTTCCAGAGTCGGCACTGCAGAGGATTGCTTTTTTAAAATTGAGTTGTGCCTTTTTTTTTCAGCCGCGAAAGTTATCCGATTTTTTTTATCATTTATCAAATTGAAACTACATAAACGTTTTCTTTGCTTAACTAGTTGGTTTATTTTTAACTTCACTTAACAGGAACATTTTTCAGGGATTTTGACACAAAATTGCCCTTGCCCGGGTTGTTGAGTGGCACACCCTTATAGCAGGCCTCCAGCTGGTCGTTGGTGTGCAGATCCGGTGCCACCGTTTCAAAGATTTTCTTCTTGGGGTTCATCACAGCGTCTGGTTGCCTGGCGAAGCCCTGGCACTCCACCAGATCTCCTGTGGGGAAATATTTTGTTATTCGGATAAATAGTGTTTTAAATAGTTGCTGTACTAACCGGGCTGTGAGCCTGGGGGAGGAATGAGAACTTCCACTCCTAGCGGGCTGCTGGCGCACATGACCATGGCTTCTGAGGTAATTCCGCGCATCTAAAAGAGCAACTCGGTTCAAGTATTTTCAAGCAAACAGTCGTTTTGGCTTTTGTACTTTAACAGGCTTCAAGTTGCACAGCACTAGGACACTGCGGTCCCTCAGTTCCTCAATGGGGATGTACTTGACCAGGCCCGAGCAGACGGTTCTGGGCTGCGCCTCGCCGCAGTTTATCTTCAAGACGTAGAGAGCATCGGCGTCTGGATGCCGCTGGACGTCCTCCACTTTCCCGATTCTCAAGTCCAGACGCCCGATGTCCACTGGCAGGTCTGCGGAAGGTTTGGGCTCTTTGGGTTCCTTCTTCTTTTTTGGCTTGGCAGGTTCGGGGGGCTGCGGCGTGCTGACGCGCGGCTCCAACTGCTTCTGTTCGGGAAGCGGCACCTGTTTCACCCCGTTCTGGATTTCTAGTCCGATAAGCTTCTTTCTGGCTTCATCAACGGCGGCTTGCAGCCGCGCGTTTTCCTCCTTAAGCTGCTTGGCTAGAATGCTGTTGTAGTCCCGGTTAATCACGCCCAGCTGCAAACAAGATCAGTTAGGTACAAAGGGGTTACTGGTTAACCACTCACCTCGGTCTTTAGGGCTTCGATGGTTTCTTTGGCCTCTTGGGCGTTGCGTTTGATGCGATCCATTGACGAGCCCTCGGACATTCTTCCCTGCAATTTCGCCCTGCTGAACAAGTTTAAAACCTGCCGAATACTCTTGAAAAACTGCCCCATACTTACCCCTTTGACTTGGACAAAATTTCTAGGTTACTTTGAGGTGCACTTGACGCAGCATGCTTCGTTGTTGTTTTGAAAGGCTGCACCCTCGGACGCATGTCGTTAATTCAAATATTGATCCCGGTTCCAGCCGCTTTTCCTGCTGTGTTTATTTCCCGTTTCGCTACAAACATTGGAGAAATGACCGATAATTGTAGATTTAGAACGTCGCTGACGTTTGAGGTACTTTTGTATGTAAATTCCTACTATTTCGGGCTGTTTGCCGTTTGCGAAATTGGCATGAATGTGGTCAAGTATGTGAATTTCACCGAATTGCACCATTTCCACATTGACTTTATGGTGCTGATGGCCGTTTGCATCATTGAAATCCTTCGCATTGCCTTGGGCAGACATGGCAATGTCACCGAAAACAGTAAGTCCTGCTGAAACCAGCCCCATTTCCATCTAATTTCTGCCGCTTTAGACTGGCTGATAGTCACTGCCATTCTGCTCACAATCCCCACCGTTATTGGGGTGCTCTATTTGATGATCCTCCAAAGCGAAGTGCTGCGTTTCGAGTACATTATTTGTTCCATCCAGCTGGGGTTGTGCGTTACCCAGATTATCACTGGGGTACTTTGTCTTTTTCCCTGCTGCAAAGTACCCGAGTATTATTAAGAGATTCTGTTACTTATTAATAAAATTAAAGTTGAGCGAAGTGTTTTGAAGAGTGACAGGCAAACATAACCCAAAATAATTTGTTTGGATTCATTGTTGGGTTCCGGCGTCATACTAGAACAGCCTAACGATGCCGGGTGGACGTTGCCGGATTGCGGTCTTTAATAAGGAGTTTTGATTAAAACTCGTCTGACTGCTTGCCGTCGAAGCCCTGATTCAACGTTTCTGGCTTTTTGGGGGTCAAATAGTTGTACGAAAGAAGGAATATTGCACAAAAACCTTGCGCAGTCCTTTTAGAAACGTTGGCACTACACCGGCAACCTTGCACATAGAGCCGAAAACCCGCCATTTTGCAGAGGTACTAGATAGTCACTCAAGTTCCACCGAATGCAATTTGTTGTGACCAGAAATGTGAATTAATTGCGATTGCTTTCTTCCAGGTAAGATTCTCTGCCGGCTTTGCCTAATTGTCGGCAGTTTTCGTTTCAGTGGCCCCTACAATCTGCTCCAAACTAAATGAGTGGTTCCCAAGGGCAGAACCATTGTCTTAGCTTGAAAGTTGTCTTTCTATCTATTGTCTTCCGGTTCTTTGCCTCCATCCATCTCCATCTTTTCCTATTGTGCAACATCTTGTAAGTGCGACCATTAAAGCCGTAATCGCAGTGATTTCTCTTCTCCCATCGGCATTTTGGGAATTCTGAGGTCTGAGGCAGTGCTCAGGGCGCCCGGACAAATCCAGACTTCGTTGGTTTTTTGGGGCTTCAAATTGACATTTCTGATCTAACTTTAGACCTTCTTTCATTCTTTTTTGCTGAGAGTAACTATATTATACACGGGGTGCTGAAATGGACGGTTTTTATGAACACTCCACCCAAAATTGCTTCTCTTTGGGGCTGGAATGGGTCCAAAGGAGGGCTCAGGTCATAGGAAAAGTATCATCTCGCGCAATAAAGGCTGAATAAAATTGAACAACTCGCGCGTTTTTCCAGGTACAGGTGCACACTTTTTCCTCTCCATCTTCTTCGCATCATTCGAAACTCATCCAAAATGAGCCAGTTTTCTTCGCAATTATCCAGCTCGATGTTACCCGAGGAACTGCTGGATCCAGAGGTTCAAGCTGAAATTAATCGGGGCTTGTACGTATTTTCACGTTTGGTTGCAATAGGGCCGAGTGTTTTTTCTTTTTAGGGGTTCCCAAGAAATGCAGTTGCTGTGCAACCTTCTGCCCTGCTGTTCTGAAGAGCCTCAAGATTGGTCATCACCGTTCGATGTTCCTGATCCGGTAAGTCATTGAAAACCGCACAGTTTATCGGTGTTTGAATATGGTTTTTGTTTCACTTCAGTGCTGAAGTTAAAGGCGTTTTGCGAATGCAATACCGTTACTTGTTTTAGCAATTACACAATTCGCGAATAATTATTCACAGCTCTAACTTTTGATCGATCAAAAGTCTTCAGTTCGTTTCTAAGTTTTAAAGTGCGTATGTTCGAATGTTTAGTTGTGCATAGTAATTTTGTTTTAATTTGCAATTAAATCATGGGTTTTTGCCGATTTCTCGAAATGTTTCAAGTGTTAAATGTGTGGATTTAATGCCATGTTGAAGGATGTTGACAATTTTACAAATATTTTGGAAAAACTCAGCCCGACATCACGAAAATAACAAAGCACGGCGGGGGTGTATGGCGTGTAATGCGAAATATTTTTGGGGCCCAAAGAAAACTCGAATTAAAAACGAGAGAACGACGTGAGATTCCAACGTCCAATGCTAGAGATTTTCTGCCTCGACTTCAACTGTAAATAAGCCGGCCAAAATCCTTCTCTTTTTCGGAAAAAACCGTTTATAATGAAATAATGATGAAATAAAAAATATAATATAAAATATAAAATAAAAATAAAATGAAATAATTCGAATGATTAGATATTATCGACTGAAGCGATCGATAAACCAGAGAAAATTCCTTGTAGATCTCTAGGCTCGTCGCACTGTTCGAACAACTCTATTGTGGTTATGACCCATAATTTGCTTATTCCACTATATTATTTTACAGTGCAAAACTGAAAACAAACCATACACAACCGATGGTATCGATTATGGTAATGGGGCGTCATTAACATGTCAGTTTACCGAATGACGCTGGAAATATGTCTGTTATCTTTTACAGAACGCCCCAAATCAAATGCTTTAATCGGTTGTCTTTACACATTGGCCCAAAGAAAATTCGCACTTTCATTCACATTTTGGCATTTATTTGCTTATCCCCAGTAGTCCAAGTTTTCGTTAATTTTTATTTGCATTTTAAATTCGTTGCTTCTGTATTTTTTTGGACTTTTAAGTTTGCGTTTGAGGACATAAAGTTACGGCTGAGCTCGAAAGGGAAAACTGTCTAAGCTTTTTTGAAGCTCACAACGAACTGAAGTCGGCAGCAGATTGTTTAAAAATCCTGCAGATAAACAGTAAAGAATGTTTGGAAAAATACAAATAAATCACAGAACATGTTAACTAAAGGAAGATTGCTGTAGATTGTAAAGTCTAACTAAAAAAGCGAAAGCACGGTGGACCACTGAGAATCTGCAAGAGATAAATAATTGAATGCGAAACAAATGCAGAATTTAGGAAAAATGTCTTCATTCAAAGAATAGGCGGATATGAGAGAATACCAACATGAAAATCAGCCACATCCAGTCTTCCGCAGGCAAATGCTAAGTACATTCTTCACACCTCTTCAGGTCAATTTCCTAAAGCGAGTTGCAAAAAAAAATGAACAAAGAAATAATGCTGCAAAAATCGTTCGACTCGTCAAAAGCCATCCTTGTAGTAGAGGAAGAAAGGCCAAATTTGCTGAAGAAAGCAATACTTCTGTGCACAATATTGCAAGCAAATAGACTTAATTTACTAATTTTTATCAGTAACAATTGGTCAAAAAACTTCGTGTATCGGATCCTCGCTTAAGATTTTGTCTTTTTGAATGGATCGTTTACGAGTTGTGACTAGTTTTCTCAATTTTTTATGTCTAATGAAAACACCTACTCATTCAATAAGTGAGGAGAGTCCGAGTCATACGTATGGCAGCGGATAAAAAGTCGAATAAAAGTGAACTTATTGCAATAAAACATAATGCAAAACACCGTGATGAAACCCTCTTTTAGTTGCATTCAATTGCACGCAAAATCGTGCGGTTCAAATTTTTTTGGGGCGGGTTTTGAAGCTTTAAACGACAAATTCGTTGCCTAAAAGCAGGGTTTTCGCAATTGTAAAAGCATTTTGATATAAGCCCGATAATGAATTAATTCCATTAATGTGAGTCCAAGGCGAAGTAGAGGATTCCGCAGGTTGTCAAATTTTCGGGGGATTTTTCCAATTAGACAAGACGTATTTTAGCTAAAAATCAAGGTTCGAAAGCTCCAGTTTTTGTCTAAAAACCAGACCTTTTTAAATTGCAAAAACACTGAATTTTCCACACAGTCCAAGCACGAAAAGGGACAACCAAACGCAAACTTTCGATTTTACTGACTAAGTTTTTGTCTCAAAATCTCTTAGTTGCAGTCGAAAACGCGAAAAATGCTCGGGACTATAAGATGTTCAGGTTCATATAGTCTTCCGAGTCCAAGCATTGTTTTCAATAAGGAAATCACTCACAGTTTTCCAAGATAATCCAAGTGCGAAAGCGAAAGTCCAAATGGAAACTTTCGATTCCTCCGAACTGGAACATTGGAATCGATGATGAGTGAAACTTAAAGTAAAAATGTTCCTTTTTTCGTTTTCTTTTGCCGTACTTTAGAACATAATTTGTTACTTCGTCGTTTTTTAGTTCCTGTGCTTTGCTATTTACTCTATTGCTATGCAGAAAATCCATTTTTTCTGGATTCTTAATTTTCAGATGAATATTTTCTATTTTAGTCTCGGATCTTTGAAGAAAAGGATGTTCTATTGAACCTTCAGATTTTTGTCACCGTGGTGCAAAATTTTGTGCGATATATTAGTAAACAAGCATTTTAGAATCAAATGATTCCTACAAACGTTTTCAGTGTTTAAGAGGTGCACATTTTAAAATTATTCTGCAATATACGAAGGGCGGCATAGACGTGTGGCGGGAACCAATTAGAGTTTTTTAAACCCCCTTTTTTTTGCCAGTTTCTGGGCTCCCGTTTAAATTTAAAAATTGTTTCCTACGTTTCATCTGAAAAATTTACAGTTTCAGAATTATTTGAAAAAATACTAGTTTTGCTAATTGCTGGATTTCGCAGAAACTGGCACCTTATCCTAAAGGCCTGCATAAAAACCTGCAGATGAACAGTTAAGAAAGTTTGGAAAAATACAAATAAATCATAAAACGTGTTATCTAAAGAAAGATTGTTGTAGGTTCTAAAGTCTAACTAAAAAAGCGAAAGCATGAAGAACAGCTAAACTGTCGCCATCCGTTCCGGACATGGTTTCTGATCTAAGTAAGTACAGATCTCGTCTCGTCAGCTGAGTCTTCGCCTACAAACCTCGAGATCTGTACCTCATTGATTATTAGAAATCGATTTTTTTGAGGAAGTGTATTTTCAATTGTAATGGTGTATAAGCTTTCAAATGTTTCAAGCACTAGTGCATCAATCCAACGAGTTTGGCGAGTGAAAAGAAGTGTTTTTGTGTTTTGCTGCGGTCGCAAAAATGCTACTTACCGGAGATGCGATATTTTCCGTTTTTTCGTTTCCTGTTTGAATCCGGGCAAAGCCGGATTTTAACGTCTTCAATTTTACATACACTTTCACCTCACAAACACTGAAATCAAGTCAATGGTGTTTTTTAAGCAATTTTTCCCTGTTCACTTACGTTACGGTTGTTTCCTCCGCAGTGAACACCTTTTCTCCATGAAATCCAGCAAACTGTTAACATTGCGCAACGTTGGGTAAATCCCCTGATTAAATATTGGCACCTGTTGCGTGTAAATTTCCACGCCAACATGCTCCCGGACTAAAATTAGTCAGGGCCTGATTCACCGCGTCCAAGTCTCGACCTGCACGCCAGCTCATTGTTCTCTCCCCCGTATTTAAAGGAAATATTTCGTGGATAAACGTTTATTCGTTTGAAATCGTACACGTTGCGCCTTGCAGTCAAATGTTTTGTGATATTTTCTAGTCTATTTTAGTGTCCCGGTGGCTTTGGAGTATTTATAGGGTTTCTTCAGAGCAGCTATGGGGATTTGTCAAGATGTGGTAAGTTCGATTGCGGGTGTTTGACTAGCGCATTTCGGCCAATTGCTCGCAAGTTTCGGGGAATAATAAGTAGATGTTTACCGCTAAGAAGACTGCGTGCTTAGTGATTTGCTAGCTAATTCGAGTTTAAAACTCCTTCAGGAGCCAGTAGTTGAGACAAAGGCAGCAGTGGATAGTATTGAGCCTTTGATCAGACCCAGTCGGGCCAGCGAGATCATGTGTACAGATGATCATCAAGGGGAAATGCTCTTCGACGTTTCCGTCTGCGACAATGAAGGAGTGAAAAATACCTGGATAGTAAGTGTGGATTTACCTCGATTAGATTTTTGGAATTGCAAAGTTGGTCTTGCAGTTCTCTCCCAGGTTGAACAAAGTTTTTGTGGAAGTAAACAGGCAAATTCCGCTGGACTTCAAGGTGGAAAACCCAACTGGACAGCGCCTATTCGTTCGCGCAACTCTTCAATATTCCTCTCAGGAATTTGCAGCTGATCCCGTGATCAGATGCCACCAACACCGCGTTGAGGACAAATCGAATAGAAGTAAGAAAATCACTTCAATGCTTACGGAACTGTGCAATCAACTCGTTTTTTTATTGCAGATATCGAAACCCATGTCAGAAGACACGTCCTGCGCTGCGGCAACCAAAATGCAATTTACATCGGCAATGAGGCAGGAGAAAGACCAAGTTTTATATTCCCGCTTGCGGTTCCCCAAGCCGGCAGTCACAGCGTTCGCGAATTGATCCAATTTGTCTGTAAAAGCTCTTGCTATCCACCGGGAATGAACCGGAAGCAAGTCGACATCATCTTCACGTTGGAGAATAGTCAGTAAGTCGCGCGTCGGAGTTGAGGGGCAAACAGTGCTGATGTGTGTTTTTCCAGATCGGAAGTACTCGGACGCAAATCGATTAAGGCAAAAGTGTGCGCCTGTCCTAAGAGAGATAAGGATAAAGAAGAGAAACCATCGCTGGACAAGGTGCGGCTAAAGCGAAGAAGAGCGGAAGAGCCGGCGGACGGTCAGTCGGAGACTAGAAATGAGCCCCTTACGGAATTCGATTTGAAGGTTCCCCATTTTTCAAATGAACATTTTTGCTTAAAAAACAACCATTTTTATGTAGGTTCGATGTTATAGTAAACCCGTGATCCAGAAGATCGTGCAAAACATCATTGATGTGTACAGGTCTCAGATGCATGAACTGCGCGACAATCCGTTCGAATACGGCAGGGTCGAAAAGGTTCACACCGATATGTTGAAAGTGCAAAGTAAGTTTTTCTGCTTTACCTTCCGTTTTTCCGGTCCAATAATGTCTGTTTGGTTTTAGAAGATCTATTCAAATGAAACACTGGACGCTGTCTTCTACTGCCATACCTACTTATTTTATTTTATATCATTTTTATATCAATAAATAAATCTAAAAACAAACCAAATAGTCATAAACATTTTCCCAGCCACGGAACTGAGTTACTGCTTCAATACTTGCTACCATTCCAATCAATAGTCAAGGGGCAGCTCTCTGGCCGTTTTTTCAAGATAATTTTAATTGCTTTCGGTAAAAAAATGAATAAAATTATTTGGTTTTTGTGCTAAATTCGAAGCTGAAACGGGTTTTCTAAAGTTCCCCGCAAGCCGATAAATGCGGCAAATTTTCTAGCAAAATTAATTTTGTCATTTTTGGCTGAACAGAACCTATTATCGTCAGAACATAGTGTTCATTTGCGTTTTTGATTAAAAACTTTTAGTTTTGTGATTGGTTTCTGAGAAAATCTTAATGATGTTTTAATGAATTTATTTTCGTTTTTGTCACGAATTCGACGCTGATGAAAGTTTTTGTAAAATTCCTACAAAGCTATAGATTTATCTTGTAATTTTTCGCGTTAAATACCTCCAGATCGTCAGTATTTTTAAGTGAAACTCTACAAAATAGAGCGTTTTTGAGTGGAAAGTAAAGCAAAAAAAATCAGTCGAAACTAAAAAAACACATTTTTTAGCAAGCTGCAGTTTTCAAAGGAATGGAGGTGACGAGTTTTCCAAATAATTTATCATAAACTTTCACTGATTCTGTTCATTTCTTGAATGAAAGAAAATTATGTGATTCCTGTCCCAAATTCGAAGCTGGAAAGCGATTTTGAAACTACAATGGGACGAAGGGGGCGAGTATTTTAATAAGATTTATTTCATAATTTTTCGCTGAAAATACCTGAAGATTATCAATATTTTTAAGGAAAACTAGAAATGAATACGTTTTTTGCGTAGACAGAATTGCTTAAAAGAACTTTGCTAAAACTGGAATGACCTAAAATTTTAAGGAAACTTTAAAAATCTTCAGAGCGATGAGGGTGACGAATTTTTCAAATTAGTTTTTGTAAACTTTTCTTCTGGTCGTTTTTTCAGGATAATCTTAATTGCTTTCGGTGAAAAACTGAATAAAATTAATTGTTTTTTTTTTGGTAATTTTATCATTTTTGGCTGAAAAGTCATCAGAAAATAATGTTTTTTTTGCGTATCTGCTTAAAAACTTTTAGTTTTGTGATCGGTGTTTGAGAAAATATTAATGATTTTCGGGAAAAACGGGATAAATTGATTTTCGTTTTTGTCGCGAATTCGACGCTGAAAAAAGTTTTCGTAAAATTCCTACAAAGCCACAGATTTATCTTGTAATTTTTCGCGCAAAAGACCTCCAGATTGTCAGTATTTTTAAGTAAAACTCTACAAAATAGAACGTTTTTGAGTAGAGAGCAAAGCAAGAAAATTCAGTTACAACTAAAAAACGAGATTTTATTAACAAACAGTTTTCAGAGGAATGGAAGTGACGAGTTTTCTAAATAATTTATTATAAACTCGCATATTCAGTTCGTTTTTTTATTGAAAATTATTTGATTTTTGTCTAAAGCGACGAAGGAGGCGAGGTTTTAATAAATTTATTTCATAACTTTTTGTGAAAAATATTTTAAGATTGTCAGTATTTTTTGAAAATTGAGCATTTAGAAAAAAGAGTAACTTTGCTAAAACTGGAAAATTCTGAAATTTTGAAGAAATGTTAAAAATATGATTGATAACTGGCCCTTAAAATAAATATAAAATCAAGTAAAAAAAGGCATCAACATTTTCATCAGTGACAACAATAATCAAGACAGTTTTGGAAATATATTTCTTTATTCAAATCCCAGCCAGTCACACCTTAAATCGTACGTGCACATTCACTCATTCTTGCAAATTTTCAACATAATTATATAATATTGTTATAAGTTATTGATATACATAAAAATACACAACAGCTTGAGAGCCAACTGCCTTAAAAAATTCTCTGGGTAAAATTAAAAGAAGGTACAATTGTTTAATAAATACAAATTACGTTTGACTAAGCTACTCAAATAGTCGAGACTTTTTACATTGTTTTACTCTAAAAGCTGTCCAGCGACGAAAAGTGAACAGTCGAGTTTTCGCCACTGGACTAAATGCTTCGTTGCAATGTACAGATTGCATTTGGGGAAAAACGTCTGATAGTCCGAAGACTACGAAAGATTTTCCCCCTAAATTAATAACTACCTAGACTAGGCGTAGACCTGATCTAAATCTACAGCATTGGTGCTTCTTTTGAGCATTTCTTTGACCAGATTGCTGGTGGATTTGTTCTCATTGGCCGACCTCGCTATCGCTGTCGCTTTTTTCTGCAAAAAAACGGTTTTATTAGCAAAGCGCTCGGACTATGACAAGGGGAAACCAGTTTTGATGCTCTCGTGAGTGCGCTAGCCGCACAAATCAGCTGGAAGCTTCAATACTTGCTTCCATTCCGATAGTCAAGGAGCAGATGTAAGTTAGTACCTTTTTTGCCGGGATACGCGTGTCGTTTTAGTCGGTCATAAAGGTCGTCTTTGGTCCCGTACAGGCTGGCATTGCTTCTGGCCAGGCTGTTCATTTTGCCATTATGCAGACCCTCCTTCATGTAGGTTTCATTGTAGAAGTTGGGCATCTCCCAGCCGTCCTCCTCATCGTCGTAATAGTGCGCGTAAGTGGAGTGATGAGAGGGAGCAATCGATTCTGCGTAGGGCGTCGGGGCGCCGTAGTAGAAGTTGACTTGGGACCCATTGGCGTCCGTTGCCGGGCTGAGCAGTTTCTTTGGTTCTTTGCGCTTGGAGGCTCTGGATAACAAGCAGATTAGCGAATTGAACAAGAAAAAACTGAATGCGGTTTACCTGGCACAGATCATCCAGATGAGTAGCACGATAAAGATGATCAGGATCACAGAGGCGGCAATTCCGCCCGCAATGTAGGCAAACTCGGATTTTTCGCTGCAGTGTTTGCCGGTAAAGCTGCCGATGCATCTGCAATATCAGGAGATGCTTTAATCTGCTCAATCTCAGGTAGAACGGAAAATTGTTGTTTTACCTGCAGGATGGCGTGCCGGACACATCCTTGACGCAGACGCCCTCGTTCTCGCAGTAACCGTCGCAGGAATCGGTGCACTCTTTTCCGGTGCCATTAAAGCCGGGTTTGCACTCGCACTTAAAATCGCTGGTCTCCGGAATGAGCAGGCAGTAGGCGTTCGGGTCGCAATGCATCTCTTGTCCATTCATTTCGCATGGATTCGTACACTCAGACTTGGATTTCTGCAGACATTTATCATTTCAATTAACAATTGCCCCCGTACTATGCGGAATTAGTAGCTATTAAGGAATTAAAAAATACAGGGTGTCCCGTAAATATGTTAAAATATTCTAACAGAGTGTTCTAGTCATTTAAGGAGGGGGTATTCCTGGGAATTTTTTAAATTTCAGGTTTTGTTGATATATCGGACTATATCCAAGGTAGCTAAAAAGGTTTTCTTTTTCTTCACCACTGCCCTGAAACGAATTCCCAAGAAAATCAACCATCTTGCAATTATTCGACAGAAAATTTCGTCAAGAAACTGGAACTTATCTTTTATATGCAGAATACCCATAGTCTGGAAATATTAGACTTACCGCTGCGGGGCCCTTCGTGCTGGTATTGGGAGGACACGAAATGCAGGTGGTTTGTTGACTTTCCGGCTGGTAGAAGCCCCTTTTGCAAGGGATGCAACTGTTGAGGGTTCCATTCAAGTAGCTGCCTGCCGAGCAAACCGGGAGCGAGCACTCCTCAATGGTGATTGCACCACTTTTGGGGGTGGTGCGACCGATGGGACAGCCTACACAAGCCGCCTGAACGCCCTGCGATCGGTAGGTTCCTCTGGGACAAGGCTCGCAACGTCCGTCCTGCGCCAGCTGCTGTCCATTGGCGCATTCGTCTCGACACTCCTTCACCGACACCGCTTCGTTTGTTCGAGTGGTTTTTCCCAAGCCGCAGATCTGGCATCCAAAGGCTCCCTCTTCTGGTTGGTAGAAGCCATGGCCGCAGGATCTGCACAGTCCCGCTTCGTGGTCGTAGAACTTGCCAGCAGGGCAGCGTTCTGGAACGTGCGAGTTAAATAAGGTTCCTAGATGAGGGTGAGGAGGACGAACCTTTGCAGTCAGCAGCGCTTCTGGCTCCAGAGCTGACAGTCACTCCTGGCCTTCCTGCTATCACTGGACATTCCATGCACTGCGACTGCCCAGACTCGCTTTGGTAGGAGCCCTGCGGGCATGGCAGGCACGACTTGGTGTCCTTGTTGAAGAACGTCCCAATGGAGCAAGGCACTGAAATCGAAAAACACTCCCTGCTGCTGATCTGGGGGGCGATTCTGAATGGACTTACCGCAATCGGGAGCTTCCACCACTTGGCCAGCCGGACAAGCGTAGTCCGACTGCAGAACTAAGGAGGACGGGTCAGGCACAGTGTTGGGCAGAATGTCGCGGACATCAAACTGGCCCTCTTCCAGAATCAGCTTTTCCAGGAGGTCCTTTACAGTGGAGCGTTCGTTGGTGTTGGAGTGCGTCACTGGATCGCTATAAAACACGAATTTTCCCCATTATCGATTCTTAAATAAAAACGCGATGAAGAGGTCAGTACGAGAGAGTACAAGAGAAAGCATGCAGAGTGGCAAAGTGCTTACTTTAGTGCCGGGAAAGCGATTTCAATGTTGTACGTATCGCTCGCTGATTGGCGTCCTTGTCTGTCTGTTCTACAAGAAAGAGAGGACATGCTATTCTACACATTCATCTACAGCTACTCTACTAGAACTACCAGGACAAACTTACTTTTCAACCGGCACACTGGCGTCGATCACGTAAGTGCTCTCGTCCTCCTCATCTGAGGCTTGTCTGGCCTGCCGTCCAGATCTGTGGTCGCACTTGACGTCGATGTTCAGTTCTTTGCATTCTCTGGTTCCTTCCACTGAGAACGAACAGAAGTTCCAGTCGCTAAACACCAAAAAAAAATTTTTTGCTGGGTTTTTATGTGAAAAAAGCCTTAGCTTACCGATTGAGGGTGTTGACGGCGCTGCGCACTTTCTGCCGCAGCACGCCCTGGCCGGCCTCATTGCACAGCACTGAGCTGGGGAAGAGCATGTTGATCCTGAACACTCTCTGCGCGGGTTTGGCCGCTGAAATCAGCAGCTCAGAACGCTGTTTACAAACCAACCAAAAGACTCACTAGAACACGCTGGGTAGACAACAGGAAGAGCCGAGTCCGAGTTGGGCCTCCAGAAGCCTTCGGCTCCACAGGTGTAGAACTTGGGGATTTCCTGGGAGAACTTGAGGCCGGCATTGCAGCCGATCTCACATACTTTGAACTGTCCTCCGGCGCCCCAGTCTTTGCAGGTTTGGTAGCCGCCTACTGGGTCGGGTAGTTCTGGGCAGAACTCGCTCAGCACTGATACCTGCAACTCCCAACGTTGTTTCACTGCGATTATTGAAGGAGTTATTGAATACCTTGAAGGTGCATGTGGCTGCGTTTCCAGCCTCGTCGCTGGCCACGTAGGCGATCTGGTAGACGCCCCATAGGAGAGTCTGACCTGGCCGGTGCCCGCTCTTCTCTTGCACAGAAACCACGCCCACGTTGTCCGTAAAGTGTGGCTCGTCCCACACGACCAAAGCCGATCCATTCTTGGTGATGATCCACAGATCGCCTGGACAGTAGTCCACCTTAGGGGAAATTTTGTCCACTTCCAAATCCTGGCATTTGGAGCCAGTGTAGCCGGGCGGGCAGATGCGTTGGCCGCAGTGCGAAGGCACCATTCTTTCCACGCCTGGAAGCGAATATATGAATCTGCAAGTTTTTGGGGTGGCTCAATCTCGTACCTCCAACAGTGTCTTCGTATCCGGCCCAGGTGAGGATCAGGTCGCGGTAAAGAACGGGTTCAGTGCGGCAATCGCGCACTTGCTTTTGGACCTCAGTGGTCACATCCAGGGCCCGTTTCCAGACCTGCACCTTGGTGAGGTGGCCTTGGAATCCCAGTTCGGTGTAGGCTTTCGGGTTGCCAGATTGTGGTTTTCCAAGAGTTACCCAGGCACTGGAATTTTATAATTTTTTAAAATTGTTTTTCTTCTTTCCTAATTTTGTACAAGGAGCTTTTCTAGCTCGCAAACCTTCGAAAATATGTCAGTAATCACGAGAATCTTTTTGAAAGAGCTCCTTTAAACCATCTTTTTTTTAATGCAGCTTTTTGCAAAATTCAGAATGTTTGAAAAGTTGTAAGGAAAAACATGAAATTTTTATAGGCTGTCCATGTTCAAGAGCTTCCATCTCGCAAACCGTAGAAAAATGTTAAATGATCATTAGAACCTTTCCGATAGAGCGACTCAAGAGCAATATTTTTTGCAAAAATTCTAACCTTTAAAAAGTTCTTGCAAACTATCTTTTTCCTAATAAAGGTTTTTGTAAAATTCTCAACGTTTGAAAAATTGTAAGGGAAAACATGAAATTTTTATAGGCTGTCCAAGATCAAAAGCTTCCATCTCGCAAACTGTAGAAAAATAGTAAATCATCATTAGGGGCTTCTCGATAGATCTTCTCAAGAGCAATATTTTTCGTAAGCTGTAGGAAAAAACATGAAATTTTAAGATGCTGTCCAGGTTCAAGAGCTTCCATCTTGCAAACTGTAGAAAAATATTAAATAATCATTAGGACATTTCCGATAGAGCGTCTCAAAAGGAATATTTTTTGTAATTAAGTTTCATGCAAAATTTCTAGCCTTTAAAAAGTTAGAAGGAAAATAATGATGTTTTAAGGAACTGACAAAGTTCAAGAGCTTCTAGCTCGCAAACCGTAGAAAATATGTCAATAATTACAAGGACTTTTTCGATAGAGCTTCTTATAAACTATCTTTTTTTCTAATAAAGCTTTTTGTAAAATTCCTAACGTTTGAAAAGTTGTAAGAAAAAAGATGAAATTTTAAAAGAGGCTGTCCAAGTTCAAGAGCTTCCATTTCGCAAACCGTAGAAAAATATTAAATAATCATTAGGACCTTTCCAATAAAGCGTCTCAATATTTATCGTAATTAAATTTTATGCGAAATTTCTACCCTTTAAAAAGAGAACGAAAATCATGAAATTTTAAAGGATTTACTAAGTTCAAGGGCTTCTATCTTGCAAACTGTAACAAAAATGTTAATTATCATGAGGACCTTTTCCATAGGGCGTCTCGATACCTCTCTTTTTCCTTATAAAGCTTTATGCAAAATTGCTAACCTATAAAGGGCTAGATGGAAAAAAATCAGGAGAATCTGAAATAGAGCTCCAGAGCACTGTTTCCGTCTTACTTGGTTTTATACGCAAATTCTAACATTCTAACCTCCAAAGCGATAGAAGCAAAAAAATGTGTGAAAATAAAAAAGTGAAAACACCTTCGGCGAACTTTGAATTTTACCTGCACCTGGTGTTTAGAAATTTTTAAGGGTGATTCTACATGCCGAAATAATGGTAGAAAGTCATGTAACAAAAATTAGAAATTTGAATATTTTCCGAGTTGTTCATCAAACTAATTTTTTTCTTTTTATTTTTTAACTTTGCTGCAGATTTCTTCCCGGATCAATTAGAAAATCGAGAGAGTTTTATTATAGTGATCTCTAACTGTCTGCATATCTTTTTTGGCACGCCAAATGACCCAAAAAAAGGACGTCACTTTAAACACTAGAAAATACTAGACAAAAAATCATTATATTTCACACGGCTCGAAAACCTCATAGTTTAGGACAAAATCGACATCAAAGTTTCTATTACTTCAACCGAGTGGCCGTGTATTTAATTGAAATCGTAGCAAATCAAGCCGTCTGGTTCTAAAAAGTGTAAAATTTGACAATTTATAGTGATATTTGTGCTCTAAAATTACTAAATTAAAATGGATGGGAAATTAAATGGTGCCGAGATATGAAAAGTGCGACTCACTATTCAGGTAATTTCCTGCCGCTGCCATATCCGTCCACTTTGCTAGCAATCAGGCCCTCAGTGATCAGCTGCAGCTGCCCGCCGTTCTCGCCGTCCCAAACCACAGCGATGTGGTGCCATTGGGCGTCATTGATGGTCGTGTAGTCCCGATAGCTGAGATAAACGTCCTGCAGGTCGGGGAAAATGGACACTTGCACGCCACTGGAATGCGCCTGGACGATGGGGCGCCGATTGGTCGGCACATGCTTAGCGCTAACGCCGTACAGGGTGAAGAAAATCCCATTTTCGTCCTTCTGCGTGAACTGCACCCACATCGCGATTGTTAAGCTGGACGAAGCTCCAGTGTAGAAGGGAACCACTTGAGAGGCGGAACTACGGCCTGGATCGCTAAAGTACAGATCGTAGTCGACCGAGATGGTCTTCCTGCAGTCCTCGCCGGTGAGATTGAACGGGCATTGGCAGTAAAACTTGCCGGTGAGATCAATGCATGTGGCGCTGGGAGGGCAGGAGTTCTCCTTGCAGTCGACCACGTCCTCCTCGCAGTATTTTCCGGTGAAACCAGGCGGGCACATGCACTTGAAGCCGAACATGCTGTTGGTGCAGGTGGCGCCGTTCTTGCAAGCATTGTCGCGACAAGCGTCGTACTCGTACTGGCAGCCGATGCCAGCAAAGCCTTCGCTGCAGGAGCAGTTCAGCCCCGAACCAAAGTCCCTGCATTTGCCCCCGTGCATGCAGGGGTTGCCAATGCAGCGCTCCGGTGCAGTCTCGCACTGTTTCCCATCCGTCCCGGATGGACACACGCAGAAGTAGTCTTGGAACAGATTGATGCACTTGGCGTCGTTCTGGCAGGGCGTGGTCTGGCAGCTGCCGATGTCGTTCTGGCAATTCTCGCCCGTCCATCCAGGCTGGCAAATGCATCTGTAGCCGCCCACTTCGTCCCGGCAGCTGCCGCCGTTCAGGCACGGATCACTTTGACAGTCGTCGATGTTCTCTTCGCACATCCTTCCGGTGTAGCCTTCGCGGCACATGCAGTAGAACCGGTTGTCCAGGTCGGCGCATTTTTCCGTTCCGATCGGGTTGCACGGGTCGCTCAGACACTCGTCGATCTCAGCTTCGCATTGCAGCCCCACGTAACCGGGCCGGCACTTGCAGCTGAAGCTGTCCACTAGATCGCTGCAGGTGGCGCCGTTCTGGCAAGGCTTGGACGAGCAGAAGTCGATGGTGTGTTGGCACCGTTTACCTGCCGAGATTTATACCAAATGACAACTTTATTCACTTATTTATTAATCAATAGTTACATAAATTACATTGCAATTTACATACCCGCAGAGATAAGCAGAGTTATCTGTTAGGGGTGGTCGGTATTTAACGTAACCGCTAAAATAACAATGTTACAAACGTGTAACCTGAAACCGTAGTTACAGCTAGCCGATTTAACCGTCTGATAAAACCGAAATAGAGGTGCGCACTTCGGACCCCGTCGAGCGATCTATCCAGCTGCAGCCGTTTGCCGACTTAAACCGTTCTTTTTAGAACCGTCTCATCAAAAAAAAAAAAAAACAGTTGTGCGCACTTCGCACCAGCTGCAGCCGTTTGCCGACTTAAAGGTCGTTTTTGGAACCGTCTCAACAGAACTAGAATCAGTAAAAAGCATCTGCAAACAATTTTATTCTTAAATGTTAATGCATTTTTAAATGAAAATGAGATTTTTAAACGCAAAAAAAAATTTAAACGTTTTCGCATATAAACCGTATATTTTATTTAATCACTCTAGTTTATTATCAGTTTTTTGTTCTTTGAGTAGATACTTCTAAGGAGTAATTTTTAGTAGTTTCTCTAAAGGAAATCATTATATATCATCACTATTTCTACTATCATCATCATTCTGCATTTTTAATGAAAAATTTAAAAAGTAACATGTTCCTTTTAGAACCGAATTTTGAAACCTATTACCAAGGTTGAACTGAAAGGTTGTAACCCGTTACAGAAAAATAACTGTTTAGCACACCTCTATTATCTGTTGGCGGGACTGTTTCCTAACTTATACCTAAGACTTATAACTTATAATGAATTTTTTAAGATTAATAAGCACAGCTTGCCTGTTACATATTGAGAAAAAAATGTTGGGGCTGAAAAGTAAGAGTGTGTTGATGGGTGTATCTAAAGTGAGCTTTTGGTGCACTTCCGAAATGAAACCACCGTCGAAACGAAAATGGTCCAGGATGGGGCCGCAGCATGCAGAAGCCTGGCAAGATACATATTTAATAAACAGGGTGTCCGAAAAAATGTGGGCATTTATCAAAACACTTAGCTTGAACTGGGGGACGTTTTTTGAGAGCGAACAGATATTTCATGGCTTTTTCATTCCAATCTCAATCAGCTCAAAGGGACTTCTGCGCGGATCGCTTTGGAGCGGAAAGTTGTACCAAAAAAGGCGTTAGAAACTCACCAGTGAATCCTGGCTCGCAATTGCAGACAAAATCATCTACAACATCAGTGCAATGCCCGCCATTCTCGCAAGGATTGGCCTGGCAATCGTTGATGTTCACATCGCAGCTTTCCCCAGTCCATCCAGGCTGGCAGACGCACTCATGGTAGAAGAGCTTATCGACGCATACGCCATTCTTGCATGGAGTGGAGTTGCACAGGTCGATCTTCTCCTGGCATCGTTTGCCGGTGAATCCGGCCGGGCAGGAGCAGCTGAAATCGTTCACCAGATCCGTGCAGTTCGAACCCAGCAAACAGGGATTTTCTGAGCAATCGTCCACGTTCACTTCGCAGGTTTGTCCCTCCCATCCGGGCAAGCACTCGCACATGAATCGGCCCTGTTCTAAGGCCACGCAGGTGGCTCCGTTGCTGCACGGGTTGCCATTGGCCGAACATGGGTCGATCTAGAATAAACACGCCCTCATTTCACCTTCTCCAGGATATTTTTCTTTTTTCTGGCGTTAAGGAGTTTTTGGTATTCGGAATGCTGCTCTGGAAGGCTTGCAAAGTCGTTGTGAGATCACATTATGTCTACTGTAATGCTTTAAAAATGTGCGACTTCCAAACGAAATTAGGTAGCAACTTGAGATTCTCACCATCTATTGCTAATGTTTCGGTCTCAAAGTACGGAAATGTTCATTTAAATCGGTCGGAATTTTGAAGTTTGCCAGCTAAAGCAATGTTGGCCAAATAATGAACACTTTTGCTCAATTGCACGCCCTGTTCTATAAATGTGCGACTTCCAAACGAAACCAAGTAACAACTTGAAATTCTCATTATCTATTGGAAATACTTCAATCTCGAAGAGCGGGAATTTTCGTTGAAATCCAGAAGAATCCTGAATTTTACGAGCTAAAGCAATGTTGGCCAAATAATGAACGCCTTCACTCAATTACACGCCCTGTTTTAAAAATGTGCAGCTTCCAAACGAAAGTAAGTAACAACTTGAAATTCGCACCATCTATTTCAATTGTTTTTAATTCACGCTTTTTTAAATTTTACCAGCTAAAGAAATGATGAACAAGTAACGACCGTTTTCACTCAATACACGCGCTGCTTTAAAAACGTGCATCTTCCAAGCGAAGTCCAGCAGCAATTTTCAATTTTCACTCATTTATCGGCCACGCTTTATTCTACAAGTCTTAAACTTTTCGTTCAAATCTCACTAGATGCTGATTTTTGCCAGCTAGAGAAATTAGGATCAAATAATGTACGTTTTGACACAATTACACGCCCTGTTCTAAAAATGTTTAGCTTCCAAACTAAGTGCAGTAACAATTTGCACTTTTCAGAATTTATCGGCAACTCTTGAACCTAAATTTGCAATAATTTTGGTTAAAATCGTATAATACGCTGAATTTTGGCAGCTAAAGGGATGCTGGCTAAATAATGTACGTTATGCTACAATTGCACACTCGGCTTTAAAAAGCTGTAGCTTCCAATCGAAGTTAAGTAGCATTTTGAAATTCTCAGATACGTCGACCATACCACAAAACGTTGAAATTGTAACAATATGTAACGTCAATTCTAAACGTTACAGCTAAAGGAATGCTGGCCAAATAATGAATGTGCTCACTCAACTACACGCCCTATTTTAGTATGCCAACCTAAATTAAATAGGAATATAAAATTTCCACAATCTGTCACGTCCGGTTATAAAAATCTGTAGCTTCCAAACGAACTGAGATATCAACTTGAAATTTTCCGCACATATCGCCAACACTTACGGCTAAAATTGTGGAAAATTTCATTCAAATCGAACTTTATGCTGATTTTTACCAGCAAGTCAAGTTTGCACTCTATAACAGGCTCAACTTTAAAAATGTCGCGCTCCCAAACGAAATTGAGCACCAACCAGAAATCTAAGAAACGCCCAACTTTGAATTCGCTGATGCTTACCGTGATGTCACAGTCCACTCCAGTGTATCCCGACCTGCACAAGCAGGTAAAGTTCTTGTATCCAGGCTCGTCTTTGCACATCGCCCTGGCCGGGCATGTGTCGTTCGAACAGTCCGAGCGCTCTTCCTGGCAGTTTATTCCGGAATATCCTGGAGGGCATTGACAGCTGGAACACATCCAGTCAGCAACTAGCTCCAGACGGTTTCAAACCCCCCAACTTACCGATATCCTTGGGGTAAGTCGATGCAGGTGCCGCTGTTGTAGCAGGGCTGCGACGCACACTCGTCAATATCAATCTCGCATCTGCGTCCCGAAAAGCCAGCAGGACAGAAGCATTGGACGCCATGTCCCATCGGGACACAAAGTCCTCCGTGCTGGCAGGCGTTTTCAGTACACTGCACCGGATGGCACTCCTCCCGTCCAACCGCTCCCGGACCCTCAGTGTTCATGTTGGAGGGACACTCATTGCAAGAGGTCTGTCCAGGGAGACTCTGGTAGAAGTTTTTCGGACACAAAGAACAGCTCGCCAGACCTGTGGGCGAGTACTGGCCAGGGTTACACTTCGGTTTGCACAGCTCTTTGCTGGCTGCAGACGGTTGATAGGTGAAAGTGTTGGCTGGGCAGGCGTGGCAGTCTTTGAAGCCGCCGGTAGGCGGCTCTACTGAATAGCTGTTGCGCGGACATTCCAAACATGGCACCTACAATGGTTCCATTCACTTTTATGAAGGGGGGAAAGTGGTGGCGCTTTGCTTACCATGCCAGTTGGCGAGTAGGTGCCGTAGCCGCATACTGGGACGCAGTCGTGGACGCTCTTGGTTCCCTCCTCCCTGGTGTAGGTTCCCTGGGGGCATTTGGAGCAGGAACCTTGCCGGTCCCTGTTCTGGAAGAACCCTCTTGGGCAGTAAGTGCACTGCTTTTGGCTCAAACCCGCGAAAGTTCCAGCTGGACAGTGTACTGTAAGAGGGAATGGTTCTAGTAATCTAAAGAATTGTACAGCTTCCTTGAAACTTACGGCATCTGGGAACGTCATTGGTGTCCATATTGAGCACCTCTCCAACATTGCAAGTGAACCCTCTGGTATTCTCGGAACGAAGCGCCTTAAGAGGCGGGCATTGGTTGCCGATGGATGGCACATTGAGCAGAGTCTCCACAACTTTATTAGCCGAAGGTACCGACAGATCGAACATGAGGTTGAGGGTGCTTCCACACAGATCGTAGAGTTGCGGCTGCCGGACCAGAGGGACAATGTCGATGATGTAGTCCACCTTAGCAAGCAAAGAACGTGTGGATAGTGTGCGGCGGAGATGTGAGGCTAATGGGAGGTACCTTCACGACATTTTCCTCCACCAAACTGGCCACTGCGTTGATGATGGAAACATTCATTTTCACATTCACCGCAGAGCAGCGCTCAGACAGCACGTTGTTCAGGTTGTCGTAGAAGCGGGCCAGAAGATCCGTATATTGCTTCAAGCAGGAGGAACTCACGGCGCCATTGGCTCGATAGTTCATCATGGCGTTGAAATGGTAATCGGCCTGCTGAGTATCTGAGGAAGAAGATCTCGAGGTAAAAGGGAGTTTTTTAGAGTCAATTTTTTCAAGTAGAGTCTGGAGTAGTTTTCTCTCTCACACACACAGCCGGTCGTATGAATATAATAGTGTGTGGTTTGTGGGCCGTTCGTGTGTATACCGTGTGTCCAAGCTGGGGATCTCCAAAACTGCAAGATATACGAAGTCGGTTAAATTAGGGAAAAGTTGCGCAACCAGGGGGTCACATACATTTTTTGGGATATTTAAAAAAAAGTGCTTATTCATTTTTGAAGTTATTTTAAATCATATCAAACATGAGTAAAAACGAAAATCCGAAAATGACTTTTTTCTAAATATTTCAAAAATTAAGAAAAAACTTTTTTTTTAAACGCCATGTATATGGCCCCTGATAGCGCAACTTTTCCCTGATTTAACCGACTTCGTATCTCTACGGTTAACCTTATTTTAGTCACCCTATAAGATAGTGTGTAGTCTGTGGGCCGGTCTTCTTTAGATCCCTTAGACCGCTTTCATCAGAAATCCTGCCTTCCAACTGGACAAAGGACTTACCTTTTGTGAATAATTTCATGCTCTTTATGTTTGGTCAAAATGGTTTTTCTACAGCAAATGGGTTTCTTTAAAGATTCAAAAGTGAACTTTCAACTTCTCAGTTTTTCAACTGTGCTGATATTTGGAAAAAATTTAATATTTTTTGAAAATTTTAGATCTAAAGCTGCAACTTTTCATACCTAAATTGAGTTCTTTAAAAACACACTCTGATCTCGCAAGTTTTAGACCAACTTACTTTCGGATACACAGTCAGGCACGACTCCTGCCGGTTTCCACGGGGTGTTTTTGTCACAGGAGAACGTCTTAACGGGTTCCCCGTCCGTAAACCGGTACCCGGGGTTGCAGGTGGCGATGCATTGCAGCCCCCTGTCTCCTGGCAGGCAGTTTAGGGCTCCATTTCCTGGAGGCTTCAGTTCCCAGTCCACACAAGGGGTGGCTTGCACTGCGACCTGAAAAGCAGAAGAACCGTGAGGTTTCCACCGAAATCAGACGGAACCTACTCCCTACCTGGTAGTAGCAGGAGGCCTTGTTGCCGTACTTATCCGCTGCTATAACTGTCACGTTTTCAAAGCCCCCAATGGCAATGGTGGCCCGTTCAGGGATGAATGTTAGAAGAACGTCGCCAGAGGCGTCGGTTGCATTGATGCGCGAGCGGGTCTCATTGAAGTTGACCGGGTAGCTGTCCTGTCGGTCGACCAGTTCGATCACGTAGCTGGGCGGACAGCTCAGCTGCGGAGGCGTGTTGTCTGGCACAGTGATGTTGATCTCGCAGATGGCCACGTTGCCGTCATAGTCGAAGGCCACGTACTTGACCACCATGTCCTCGAAGACATACATTGGGGTCTTGAAGTTGGCCGGTTTCACCTCCAAACGCGCAATGCTGCCAGAGTTATCCACCGCCGTGGGTTCTGTGAAATTCACCGGGAGAATGCCGCCGTTTTCGTCCTTTTGCACCACTATAGGCTGCTGGGGGCAGTTTTGGAACACTGGCGTTTCATTGTCTGGAAAATTACCTCGATTAGATTTCTAGTATATTTTGAGTTTTTGCGGCAAGCTTAATGAATGGCTGAAATTGTCTTGAATGTTTTTAAAAGATGCAATCGCAAAATGGTGTGTAGACAATGAAAAAGGCGACTGGAAGACTCACCCACACAGGGGGAATACCCATAGTCGTAGCCTAGCAAAGGCTCCTTCTCAGGCTCATCGCAGCCCATCAGCTCAAACTTCAAGCAGGCGTTGTCCATGTAACTGACGATGCCCAAGATAACAAAACGCGCTTGCACATACTTGGGCAGGGAGATCATGGCCAGCTCCCCATAGTTGCCCGGATCCCTCATGGTCAGGTTGAAGTTGGGGAAATAAACCACGTAGTTCTCGCTGTCGGCCTGCTTGTAGAAGAACCGGATTTCCGTAGGCCGACCCACGATGTCATTGGTGACCACCCCCTTCACCAAGATGGCCTTCACTCTGTAGACTTTGCCCAAGTCCACGCTGACGTAGGTAAAGGCTTCCTGTTTGCCGCACCATCCAGTTACCGAGCTCAACCGCACGTTCTTTGCTTCGTAGTTGGGCCGCTCGCTAGTGGCGTTGATGGCCGAGTCTGGGATCCTACCGGAGGCCAAACCCAGGGGCTTGACCACTTTGCATTCGGGGTCCCGCACGCATGTGATTGGTCGCGGGTTGATCAGAATGTAACCGGCCCGGTTGCAGGAAAAGCCCACTTCTGAGCCCTGCTCGTAGCTGCGCGACACCTGGATCCCGTCGCTTGGCCTTCCAGGGTCTTCACACACTGGGCCCTCGCACCGCAAATCTCCGAAGTCCCACACGCCATTCGCTTGGCATCTGGAACAAGAACAACATGAGCACGGGAACAATCCCGAGTAGGCCTGGGTAACTCCGCTCCAGCAAAAACTTATGGCAAATGTTATTTATTATTTTCGTAAGGGGAACAGGTCTCTGTTTTCAGATAACGCAAACGCTCCCAAGGAGGCTTTTGACGTTGACGAAAACATTAATAATTGAGTCGTTTTCCCTTCTAGAAAAAATCAATCAGGCGAAACACTCTTCGCAACTCCACGATTCCGCGAAGTTTTACTCGATAATTTGCAAATTTGCAGATTTATTCATCCTAACAAGGCTTGTTAGGCTAACAAAGGGGATAAAAAGCCGTTGATGGATGTTTTGAATTTCAATGCTCCGCGCATAAAACATCCCCCCAAAGTTTTCTACTAACAACTTAACGTGCTCGTGTGGGTTTGGAAGTTGATGGAACAACAGCAGCTGTTCCTCTATGCAACCGATTGATTGATCGATGTTGGAAATTGAGCAAATTCGCGACAATTACGAACTTTTTTCCATTGCCATAGACCTGGGTAACTCAATTAATTTTTAGGAGTTGGCGCAGTGCCACGCAAATGGCTTGGTGCGCCAACCCAACGCACCGGCGCAGTAATTCTGTTCCGTTGCTGGGAAAATGTTGATGTCTTTTTACTTCTTTTTACATTTATTTTAAGGGCCATTTATCAATAATATTATTAACGTTTCTTCAAAATTACAGAATTTTCCAGTTTTCACGAAGTTACTCTTTTTTCTAAATGCTCAATTTTCTAAAGATTCACTTGAAAATACTCACAATCTTAAGGTATTTTCCGCGAAAAATTATGAAATACGTTTTATTAGAACACTCGCCTCCTTCGTTGCTTTGTAAAAAGTTTTGAAATCCCTTTCCAGCTTCGAATTTGGACCAAAAATCAAAAAACGAACTGAATAAGGGAAAGTTTATAATAAATTATTTGGAAAACTCTTCACTTCCAGTCCTCTGAAGACTGTAGAATTTGTTTCAAAAAAAGTGGTTTTTCAATTTTGATTTAATTTTTTTTGCTTTGCTTGCTAAGTCGAAAACGCTCTATTTCGTACAGTTTTACTTAAAAATACTGACGATGCGGATGTATTTTACGCGGAAAGTTACAAGATATATTTATAGCTTTGTAGGAATTTTAAAAAACTTTTTTCAGTCTAATTCCGGACAAAAACGAAAATAAATTTATTCGGTTTTTTCCCAAAAAACGATTAAGGTTTTCGCAAAAACCGATCGTTGAAGCAGAATAACGCATTAACCAATGAGTTAAAACTCATTAACTCAGAGAGCGGCAACCACTCAAAAGCGCAACGCTCTCTACTCCCTACTCCCAAGGAAGAAGTTTTGTGCCGGCAGAGTATGCGGCAGCAAAGATCATTTCATTGCCTACAACAAAACAGTTGGCAAATTTTAAAGAATAGAAGGAGTTTTCATCCAGTTTCAAACACGATACCTTCGTCAAACTTTGGGGTTACAACGGTTAAATGTATTACCTGACCATGTTGTCATGCTTGCTGCTCTGCCCGGCCAGTTTGAAAGTGTTCTGACAGCCGAAGAAGAATGAGGACTGGTAGCGTGTGTCCATGTACTGTCCATACTCGGCTCCGGGAGTGGGAGGAGGGACCCCGCAGTCGGTTCTGGGACAGGAGGGCGCAGCCCCACTCAACCAGTAGTCGGGTAGACCTAAGCAACCTTTATAGTTCCTCGAAGGTTTGGTTTGAGGAAAAACTCACCAGGTTTGGGGTCATAGACGCACTGCCTGAAGCCCGAGCTGGAGGTTCGCCTCAGTTGCCTGCCTGTGCTGCCGCAATGCAACGTGACGTTCTCCCTGAACGGGACCAGGACGCTGTTCTCGTCGTTTCTGATCACTCTCAGACCTTCGTTTTTCTCGTCGGGCAAAGACACGCACTGAGCGTCTGAGGAGGAAAACTGGCAGTGAGCAAGAGGATAGATACCCGACAGGGGACTTACATTTGCAGTCCGGAACAGTGCCATTCCAGGCGCCGTTCGAGGTGCAAAGGAGCGCGCTGCTGCCCGACATCACGTAGCCAAAGTCGCACTGGAACCTCACCAGGTCGCCGAAGTGGTACTTTTCTTTGGTGGAGAGAATTGCGCCATTTTCGGGAGCGTTCAACGAGGGGCACATGACAGGGACGCAAGATTTGTTCACTTGGTAGACATCGCCGTCTCTTTTCCCATTTTCTGAAGCTTCGATGAAGTAGGAGGCCGTTCCATTCTCCTGGTACAGCTCAAAGCCGACGTTGCAGGCACAGGAGAAATCGCCGGCGCTGTTGATGCACTTTTGCTGGCAGCCGCCGTTGTTCACTGCACACTCGTTAATGTCCTGGCAGTCCATCCGGGTGCAACCCATCACTTCCAGCTTCAGACAGGGAGCGCCTACATAGTCCTGGATCTTGAACCGGATGAATTGGGCCTCGATCGGTACTGGCAAGTTGAGGATGCTGAGAGTCGGTTTCTCGATGGTGAATTCTACGGCCAAACCGTCGGGGTTTCGGTAGTCTTTGAAGACGTCGGTCAAATCGTCTGTGTATTGGATGCGAACGGCTGAAGTGAACGCAACATCGCCATTCAGGCGAGTGACTGCCATGGTTCGGAACCCGCGGATGATGGTGGGGGCTCTCAGGTCCAGTTGCACCCAGTTGGAACCACCATCAATGGCGTTTCCACACCATCCAGCGCCGTTGTTTAAGCGCACCATCTGGAGCAAAAGAACATTGGGTTAAGTAGCGAAGTTCTACAGCTTTTATGTGTGGAAACACGGTGGATTATTTCCTAAACTAAGAGTGTGAGTAGATCAAGAAAGCGGGGTGTAAAAAGAGTAAGGCGCATATGCGCATGGGGTGGTAGAGTGTTCAGGTCCTTTTTTTAGGCCTGGGTAACACTGTGTTGAGTTGCGCTTTTGAGTTGTTGCGGCTCTCTGAGTTAATCAGTTTTAACTCGTTGGTTAATGGGTTATAGCTCATGGTTGATGCTGGAATTTTAACATCTAACAAAAAAGCCATCAGCATGTAGCGTTTTTGAACAAATATTAGAAAAATAAAATTGGTTTCTAGAGGCGGATTCAAAACTACAATTCTGTGTCCATTTGACCTTCTTCGTGACTGCTCTAGTTCCGAGATCCCTGTACTAGTCATCGAAAGAAACTCACCCTATATACAGGGTGTCCCAAAAGTAATCGCACAAAACAAAATGGTGGATTCCTGAGGCGAAAATATGATGATTTAACACATCTTACCTTAGTCCGAAAGTTGACGGTTGCCGACATACAGGGCGTCAAAGTTACATTTAATTTCAGTTTTTCGTTATTCTACTTTGAACGGAGCTGCGTATTTTAACGACATTTGGGATACAGGGGTTTTTGAACATAAGAAATCCAAATCTATCATCAGATTTTGATCAACTTGTAGAAAAAACCACTTACGGCGATATCTGGGCAAATGAATGGTTTCAACTTTTTGGTTACCCGATATTCTGACTTCTAAGCTGGTTGGGTCTAATCGCCTATTGATTTTATACAAAAAAGGTATTCTTAGTCGATGTCCCAACAAGCCTCTGTTTCCGAGATATTTGCGATTACACCGCAAAATGCACTATTTTCAAAAAATAAGCCACAATAAGTATCTAAGTGAAAAAATATTTACTAAACATCATTCTTTAACAGTAGGATCTTTTTATCTTAATCACTAACAATAATACATTAATTTTCTACAGCATTGCTCAAAATGTCCCCTGTAAACCCTGTTATACATTTTGAAATGCGTTTATTGAGGAATCGTCTAATCAAAAAAATATATTTTTTCATTTCGAAATCATTCGGCGGCATTCATAATTTTGTTTAACAACTCGTCTCGGATGCCTACCGATTGATCGTACACTAATGATTTTAAATAACCCCAGACACAAAAATCTAATGGGTTAAAGTCAGGACTTACTAAACATCATTCTTTAACAGTAGGATATTTTTATCTTAACCACTAACAATAAAACATTTATTTTCTACAGCATTGCTCAAAATGTCCCCAGTTAACTTAATACATTTTGAAATGCGTTTATTGACGAATCGTCTAATAAAAAAAAACATATTTTCATTTCGAAATCATTCGGCGGCATTCATAATTTTGTTTATAAACTCGTCTCGGGCGCCTACCGTTGGATCGTATACTAATGATTTTAAATAAGCTCATACACAAAAATCTAATGGGTTAAAGTCAGGACTTCGCACCGGCCAAGCCCAAGAACTTCCACGACCTATCCACCGATGTGTAACATGTTGGTTTAGGTAATCAGCAGCATAACCAACGGCTCTAGCAAAATCGTCCTCTAATAAATTCTGTACGGGCGTAAAATGGCAAGGATGGAGATTTTCTTGCCGAAAAATCCTTTGAACTGAAGACTTGCTTACGCCAGTTGCAGTTTCCAATCGTCTTGTGCTTATTTCTGGATATTCTCCAATACGAACCAGAACGTCTTCCTCTTGATCTGGAGTTGAAATTTTCGGACGTCCCAAGATATTAACTTTGGTCCTAAAGTTTCCCTTAATGGACAGTAAATGTCTCCGAATAACTTGAAATTCGGTTGCCTCCTATTGGGATACAATTCTAAGTACCACAGTTTGGCACTGCGTCCACTAAAGTTTTGCTGGACAACAAAATTATACGTTGGCATATTAACTAATTGAAATTAAAACTTAAGTATGTAGTGGCACTAGTGTCACTTTGACAGGTACCAAGTAAATCCGTCTCGCTGCGTCACACTACTTGACATGCATTGTAAAATGTCCTCACAATTCTGCATTTTGCAGTTTAATCGCAAATATCTCGGAAACAGGGGCTTGTTGGGACATCGACTAAGACTACCTTTTTTGTGCAAAATTAATAAGCCATTAGACACAACCAGTTTAGAGGTCAGAATACCGGGTGACCAAAAAGTTAAAACTATTTTTTTGCCCAGATATCGCCGCAAGTTGATTAAAATCTGATGGGACATTTGGATTTCGTATACTCAAAACCCCCCTGTATACCAAATTTCGTGAAAATATGCAGCTCGGTTAAAAGTGGAATAACGAAAAATTGAAATTAAAACTTTTGGACAGCCGTCAACTTTTGGACCAAGCTAAGTTGTGTTAAATCATCATATTTTCACCCCAGGAATCCGCCATTTTGTTTTGTGTCATTACTTTTGGGACACCCTGTATAGTCAGTTGTTCGTTTGTTCGGAGTGTTTTTGTCTGAATATTAAAATACTTGAGCTAATTTTGGCTAGTATTTCAAACCGGGTAGTGAAGTTAAGACAGGTAGTTTTTTCGGACACAACAGAGAGGGCGCACAAAACAACAAAAAAACATTAATGCCAAAATTGAACGGTTTTGCGGCAAGGCGAATACATATTCTATGACTTCCTACCGTTTTATCATATCCAGCCTCATTCCCCGACACCGTGATCGACTCGTCTGGAATGCCTCCATTGATCAGCCCCAAATCGGCCACCGGCCGACACTCATTTGTAGGCGCAAACCCTAGAAAAACCCGCATTATTCCCCCACTGGGTGGCTTCCATTAAGGCCTTGCTTACCTTTTCGGCACTTGCACTGGAAAGACCCTGCGGTGTTCACGCACTCAGTGGATGCCACGTCGCATTGGCTGCTGATGCACTCATTAATGTCCTCGCACTTGGGCGCATTGTTAAACTGCTGATTATCGCCGCACTTTAAAATACTGTTACCAATCAGCTTGAAGCCTTTGAAGCATTGCACGCGAGCCTCGTCTGTGTAGTAGTAAGTGCGTGCGCGGTCCGTGATGAGTCCGTTGCCGATTTCCGGAAGACTCGGACATCTGGAAGAGATTGGTCATTAATTGCTCCCCCCAAGGCTGTGCGGTAAGTTACCTTGCCCGGGAACAAACTGGAACATCCCCACTCCAGGTGCCGTTGCTCATGCACAAAATGACCGGCGGTCCGCTTCGGATGTATCCAGGCTCGCATTCGTACCGAATGATTGTTCCATACGACCTGCCCAGGCCGTTCAGAATGGTCACATTGGCATGGGGAACTTCGGGCAGGGTTGCGCATTGGGAGGCTGCATACAGAAGCAAATGTACTCCAGGCCGGAGTCAAAAGCTGCGATGCTTACCTAAACAGTTGGGCTTCTTCTCCCATTTGCCATCAGATAGACAAGTAATTCGCTCAATGGGCTGCGCGGAGGGAAAGGCAAAACCTGCATAGCACTGGTACATTGCCTGCCCCTTGTAGGTGACATTGGAGGACCCGATGGAGAACCCGTTGTCGATCTGAGGCACTGGGCCGCAATACACTTCCTAAAACAAGGTTTCGATCAGGAACCTTTCCCAGACTGGAACCGGGGACTTACCTGGCACTTGGGGATGTAGCTAATGGACCAGTTGCCTCCGGATAAACAATGGGTGGTAAGGCGGTTGGTGCCAGTGGCGAATTCCTGCCCAGCCGGACAGCTGAAGGTGATAATGGTGCCGAAGGCTGTGTCCCTGCTGGAGGCCAAGGCGCCTGCTCCCGCTTGCAATTGGGGGCAATCTAGAAGGGAGAATACCAATAAAACCCCTCAATCTAGCTTCAATGGCTTCAGCCCACCTGCTGAGAAGCTGGCCTGCCATCCGGCCTTGTTATGCAAGGCATCGGTGCTGAAGCGCACCAACATCTCCCCACTGGAAGCCGTCAGCGTGATCTTTGGCTTGGCTGTTTCAGTAAAGCCATTTCCTGGATGCAACCTATATCCACACAGGGAGTAAATGCACAAATCCTCTGAACTGGGCCGAGTCCCTTACCTAAGTCCACTAGTCGTGGGCCCATCGTACACCTGCACAAAATCGGACTTGTCCACATCAAACTCCTGGAAATTTAAAGAGAGCGGCCCCCCAACCGGATTTCTGATCTTATAGAGACAGTCCTGGTTGCTGGGGTACTTTTCCAGGCCGAAAGCCGGCGATGTTAACGTGGCGTTTCTGGCCACAATGGTCGCCTTGCAGCCCTGAGTGTATCTGATCCTGAACCCTCGCCTGGAGTCGCCCAGACTGGTCTTGAAGTAAACGTAAAGCTGGGAGTGTGTGGACATGACGATGCGCTGGTTGGTTTCCAGATTGCCGGTAAGCCGAGCGATCGGCTTACTTTTAGGTGAGTCGCCGTCCCGGACTAGCAGGTAGTCTCTGGCTTCGTCCAGGTCCAGATCGTCGATTTCCAGTGTGATGATGCGCCCGTTTTGCGAGCGGATAATGTAGAGACACTCCAATCCGCCAGGGTATTGGTCGGGGTATCCAGGGGATTTAAGAATCTGGCCCTGGGGCGTCGCCCTTAAGGTTCCTTAATTGGAGAAGGCAATAAGATTTTTTACTACTCTGGAAAGGGGTTGGTCTTACCGCCGCAGATTTGGGGCTCGGTTTTCCAGGACGCCCTAAATCCCTTCTTCTCCACTGAGGCATCAGTGCTGAACTTCACGATCATGAAGTTGGAGGCTGAGACAAAGGAGCGGTTGCCCAAGTCCTGCTTCCCAGACAATGTAGCCAGGTTCACTGAGGTGTCCTCAGTGCGTCCTGCAGGAATATTGAATATGAGTGAGTTCCTCTGGAGAACGTGTTTTGGTGCGTACTTACCGCCCACCAGGATCTGGACAGTGTCGAAAATCTTCTCGGTTTCAAACTCCTGGAACTGGAGCAGGATGTTGTGGCCCTGGGGGCCTTCCAAGGTCCACTTGCAATTGGTCAAGGGGGCGTATTTGTGCGGGTAGTAGGGGGACTCCACCACATCTCCACTACTAGCTAGGTAGAAGTTGCAGTTTTGGGCGCAATCCAGTTCGTCGCTGTTGTCGCCGCAATCATCTAGTTTGGCAGTTTTTCAATTAAACCTGTCCAGTCCCTAAACTGGACATTTTTACCTTGTTTGTCGCACTTGAATTTCTCGTTGATGCAATTTCCATTCGAGCAATGGAAAGACCCAGTGGGACACGCCCTGGAACGGCACATGAAGGGAAGAAGGCTTTCGCAAGTGGTCAGCTCCCATGACTGATTCTCCTCGGTTATGATCACGTCCACGCATTCTCCTGAAGCCGGGTTGGGCTGGTCCAGAGACCAAAAGCCTGCGGAAACACACAATAGAATCCCCAGTCGAGTTGGCTGGATGATTTCCTACCGGAATACTGGGAAACCAGAGCACCAGCTGCCGATTCCAGAGTGTTGGTTCGGAGGTCGTCCAGGGAGGCGAGTCCCAACCAGTAATGATCCAGACCTCGTCGCTCTACTGATCCCGAGTAGTTTGCAATGCTGGCCGTCAGGTTGTTTTCTGAGTAGGATTCTACTGCCATCAGATCACTCCCATATCTATAACATACAGAGTAGACAATCTACACGGTGTGCCAATTAAAAATTAGGGTAGATTGAGTGAAACGACGACTTCAAGGCCCGGAACTTTAAGACTTCTGTTGCTAAAGCGGATTTTTGGAAATCGCCGCCTAAATTCGGGTCATTATTAAATTGCGGTCGATTACATTTGAATGTGCACAATAACGATGATGCAAAGCTTGCAGTGTTGTTGGCAGAAAAAAATCAACGGCCAGTTAGATCGAACAAAGCCTGGGTGCGTCCACTTAATCGTTCTTTACTGCTTGGAAATGTGGTGAAAATGTCGCACAAGTAGAAAGTGAATTTTCCGCATCCGGGCAATGAAATAAACTGAACGAAGCGCACATTGTGGTGGTTGGACATCGGTGAAATTGCACAGGATTTAATTAATGCATCGAATCGCCCATTAGGAAATCGTGTGGGAAAAAGCATTGAACAAACGCCAAAAACTTCCCATTCGATGGCAGATTAAAAATCCTTGTTTTGTTGCCCAATGTGGTGGGCACCTAGTAGAAAAAGCGCGCCCACAATCTTATGCAACGATCCCGCTTGGATGCAGTGATGTAAATGCAGTTTTTGTCACTTGCATAGTATTATGGGCTTGCAACGTACCGTCGACACAGTTCGGCTGCTTTTTCCCATGAATGTCTGATGTTGAAGAATTTGTAACAGTAGAGTCCTCGCAGCTCCCAACCTGCAACAAAATGCACGAATTGTTAGATGTAATTAAGGATTATCGGGTTTGTTTCATAGAGCTTTTTTAGTTGCCGTAGTTGAGCTCAAAGGAGCAATACAGCGAATCTTTCGCTATGTATTGATGCAAAGAGCCGCGTTCTATCTGGGTTCGGCCCCAACAGATGAATTTTTAAGAATGTCAGTTCTGAGCAGCATGTGAATGAATTGGGTACATTGACTAGTCCGGTTTTTAAGTTTTTGCAAAAAATCGAGAAATCGAGTTGAGATTTTAATAATTCTTGGCAAAATAAAACGAGCTTTTCTCTATTTAACGAAAAGAAAAGAAAAAAGTACATTGCGCTGTTTAGTTGTAAAAATCTGACAAAAATCCAGGAAAACAAGGCAAAACTCGAAAATCACACTACCAAATAATGTGATATTTTCTCCACTCAACGGCTGAAAGATCGTTATTCTGTGCATTTGCTGCTCTAAGTGATGTTTTTTTAAAATACGCGAATTTAAAGCGACAAGTTAATGCATAAAGCATGCTTCGGCCACTCTACTTTTGAAGTATTTGCCAAAAATTGACGAAAAGTGGAAGGCAGTTGAAAATGGTGGAAGCCATAGAGCAGATCTTTCTCTAGTTAATGGTGCAAAGAGCCGCGTTCTATCTGGGTTCTGCTCCAAGAGATGAATTTTTAAGTATGTAAGTTCTGAGCAGTATGTGAATGAACTGGGTACATTGATTAGTCCGGTTTTTAAGTTTTTGCAAAAAATCGAAAACTCTAGTTGATATTTTGAAAATTACTGCCACAACAGAGCGATCCTTTCTCTATTTAACTATGGAAAGGACAGCTTTGTGGCTATTTTTTATCGGAATTATGATTTTTAAACAAATGAATGACGTTGAAGAAAAAAGTGCATTGTGCTGTTTAGCTGTAAAAATTTGGCACAAATCCATGAAAACAAATTCAAAGGATGTTCTTCAAAAAAATCGTCTTTTCGACCTTCAAATCATCATAACTTCTAAGTTTTTCAACCGAGTGCAATTTTCCGACATGCAGTTTTTTTAGAATATTGGACGTTTATGGAGTTATGCAGAATATTTATGCATACAGTAAGCTGTTTTTCCCCAAAAATTTCGACCTTAAATACATAAAGAAAATATCGATAACATTTGCCCTAAAAATCGTCTTTTCGACCTTCAAACTCTTATTACTTTCAAATTTCTCAACCGCTTTAAATTTTGCAAAATTCGATTTTGAGACAAAATCAGTCACTTTGGAGAAAATTTTCAATGATCCAAATCGGACCCGTATTAAGAGACTTGCACTAAGAATTTGTAAAAACATGTGAATGCAAGGCGACAAATTGGTAGCTTCACCTAGTCTGGTGTTGTCTTTACCAAAAATCGACAAAATGCGGTAAAAAGTTGAAAATGGCAGCAACAATAGAGACAACTTTTCTCTATTTAACCCTCCAAAATCTTTGTGTCTATTTTCGGCTCTAAGTGATAATGTTTTAAATTGGGTACGTGGAGTCGAGGCGGTAAGTTGATGCAAAAGCGCTTCACCCACTCCCGTTTTAACGCATCCAGAAAAAGCGAAAGAAAGTAAAGTTTTCGCTATTTGGAGCTTCAGAATGATGAGCCCTGAGCAAATATTGAATGCTTTCAAGTGGACAAAGCAAACGATTTGCCTAGGTTGACTATGGAATAAGGCCGCATCATAGATTTCTTTGACCCACAGAAACACTTTGGGTAGAATTATAGTAAAACCAGCCGCTGTCGAGGTTGTTGCAGAACCTGTCTGCCTTCTCTTCGGCAATTACCGGCCACCTCGTCAGTAGAAAGTATTTTAATAAAGAAAACACGCGCCTAACTTTGATTTGCTGCGATGTTCTACAGCGGCTCCTATAAACAGCCTGTCGTCGGCAAAGACAGTCCGAATTCGAAACATCGTGCACTTTAGCACTGTATCAGACCTTGACATTTCCACCCATTCGCTAACTGAGCCAAAATCAAGGTGAATAAAACTTAATTGCCGGTAGGTATTTCCTATTTGATTAAATCAAGCAGTTTTTTCCCACTCTGTCCTTTTAAGTTGCTATTGTTTTTTCTTCGTAAAATCTGCGTCAAATTTCCAAAAGAACTTATCAGGAGTGATAATGCCAAAATGTCTTAACAGTATTTTTTCCGAAAAAAACACTCAAAAAATGCCAGTCTGGCAACCGATTGATTAAGCCGAGCAGTCGAGAGTGCTTAAATTTTCGTAATCATTCGATCGGGTTTTGCCATTTTCCTCAAAAACGGTGCCTTCAACGGAAAAATGTTACAATACAAAAAAACACCAGCAATAAAACGGAGGTTCTAATAATCAAAAAATCAATCATGGTTTTCGGGTCCGTAAAACTCGCCAGTAGATAAGTCGGGACCGTTTGCCTGCCCTACGTTGCCTTAAAGTCTCCTGGATGTCCGAGCATCGGCATTACTAGCAATATTGCCAAATTTCCGGGATAGTTTTTTGTTAATATCTTAGTTTTTGGCCCCAATTTTTATTATTTCCTATTGATTCTCTACTCCCTGATTAGCCATAAATCGGATCTCATTAAGATTTAGTTAAAGCTAATTAACTAATTTGAAAATTTTATTACACAAGAAATAATCGAAAACTCAGACCCGAGCAATTGAATCAAGCATGCTCACCGTGTACTCGATTGTTTGTTTATGGGAAAGTGGTTCGTATTTTTCTCAAATGAAAACGCACAATTACAGATTTCTATCAATAGCCTATTAGTTGAGCTGCATATTAATTGGTAAACATGTTTTAAAATTCTTGTGCAATATCGTCTGCGACTGTCGATTTTTTTTGAATTTATTGTCCTGTAGCTTTCACTTTACTCGATTTTAGGTTGTATATTGTTTGATTGTCTACCCAATGGGTTACGTCTGTTTAGGGACTGAAAAGTGTTTTCTTTCGTCTGAAAGGTTTGGAACTTGGGAGCAATTTTAGATGTATAAACCAGGATTATGACAATATTTAAGACAAATTGAAAAACTAGTGAAAAATGACTTTATAAAGCTTAAAAATTGGTAAACGTGTCAACATTGTTTCTACAACTAATAAGGAATCAGGAACGGGTTCAAAAACAAAAAGTAGGCGCATCGCTTTGTTTATGATCACCTATAGCCGTTTCCCTTCCCCATACAACAGAGGCTCTCTTTCCTTGACCAAGATCGGCCCTTCATAAGCGCCCTGACAGTTGTTTAAGAACACACTCCCGGATGGTGTGGCGCATAGTTTAAAACCAATAAATTTCCTATACAACAATAAAAAAATCTCTTAGTAAATCCATTGGCATTTGGTTATGCATCATCATTATTAATGCCAGTACAAGTGATTGCACAAGCCTCCATTATTAGCGACGACAATTAAATCTTCGAAGGATTTGCAGCGTTATGCAACCAATAATGCGGTGATTCGTTTGTTTATTTTCTGCATATAAAAGTTTACTAACGGCCTCCCAAATATCCCCATCAATGTGATTGGCCAGATTGGGACCATCCTATAAACCAGTCAAGCCCCCGGGCTGTATAGGCAAAGAACGACATTCCAGCCATATCTTGAATGTTACGCAAGCCTATCAATTCATGCAAGTGTAGTCGATTTGCAAAAAACACCATTCGACTTACCATTGGGACATGTGAAAAGATTCGTTGATCCATTGGTTGGATTTATTCGTATAATGGCCAATAGGGCGACCAGTAGGGCCGCCTCTTTCCTTATCAACATCGATCTGAAACGAATAAAAATCATGGATTTATTAACAGAAAACGTCAAATATCATAAAAAAAATGCTGCTGGGAAGAAATTTTTCGCGTTTACATTCTTCAAGTTCCATTGACAGTTTTTTTCGTCGTTTTCCCGTGTTCACATAATTTACCGGTTGGCTGGTTGTGCATCTTGGGCTAATCAGCGTTTAATTAGTTAATTTGTTGACTTTTTGCTAAATTTAGCCGTGAAGCGCCGGTTTTTTGCGATAAGACCTAAGATGAACCATTGTTTGGGTGAGTTTTGAAGAAATATCGAGAGTTTGCTTTTTTCTTAATTTCCTTCATTTCTCCTTTTAATAACAGTTTTGCTCCGGAAATTGTGCAACAATAAAGTGAAATAGTGAGGATTTTTAAAAGTCCTTACGGTTGTCCTGATTCACTATAAGCGGATTCTTTTTTGTTTGGAAAATTGCTCAAAAAGTGCAAAATGTTAAGAGAAAATGCTTCAGAACGGGCGTTGTTAAAAAAAATCTGTCTTTGCTAAATCAGGCCATTAGGACATCTTTCCTTCCTCATCCATAGGGGTTGAAAATTCATAAAATGTTACCAAGCTGGGGAGTGAAGTCCAATTTCTCTATTTGAGTAGAAAAGGCACTAATTTTTAACAGTCCAAAGTATCAGCCTTGTAGAAACTCAAAGAGTCCGAAGTTTCAGATTTGCAGGAGTTTCCAGTGATTTTTGGAAAGTTTTCAAAATTTACCTCAAAATCTGTTGACTTAATTGGGCACAAATTTCTTAGAAATTTCATGAAATCTTATCAAGCGCAGGTAATAAAGTAAAATTCTTGCACTTTAGTAAAAAAGATGTACATTTTCAAGCCTACAACAATTCGGTTGTGCAGGAATTTTCTTTGATTTTTGCGCAATTTTTAAAATTTACTTGAAATTCAAGCGTTTAAATGGGGCGCGATTGTCTGAAAATTTATCAAATCTTTTTAAGCGCTGGGAATAAAGTCGAATTTTTGCATTTTTCTAGAAAAGATGTAGATTTTTAGGACTGCAACATTTCAGTTGTGCAAGAAATTTCTTTGATTTTTACGCAATATTCAAAATTTACTTGAAAATTGACGGTTTAAATTGGGCGCGATTGTCTTTGAAAATTCATCAAATCTTATTAGACGCGACCAATAAAGTACAATTTTTGTATTTTATTACGTATATAACGTATATTACGTATATAATATATATAAATACATAAATTTTCAAGAGCACAAAATTTCATTTGTACAGGATTTTTCGTTGATTTTTGGGCAATTTTTAAAATTTACTTCAAAATTGGCTGTTTAAATGGGACGGGATGGTCTTTGAAAATTCATCAAATCTTATCAAGCGCTAGGAATAAAGTAGAATTTTTGCATTTTTCTATAAAAGATGTAGATTTTCAAGAGTGCAAAATTTAAATTGTGCTGGAAACTTCGTTGATTTTTGCGCAATTTTCAAAATTTACTTCAAAATCAACTGTTTAAATGGGGCGTGTTTGTCTTTGAAAATTGATCAAACCTTATCAAGCACCGGAAGAGGCGCTCCAGTTTTCCACAAATTTCCAGTGATTTTTGGGAAATAATTTCCGAAAATCCAGAGAAACACAATCAGAATGAAACTGGTGACTTTTTCTAGCTTTTAGTTCATAGTGAAAAAAAATTCGCGTAACGTTTCGCATGCAGTAGTGGCTTCCATCTTCAGAGCGGTGCTGAGCAAACCACCTCTGAATATGCCACTCAGTCGTGCTTGCGAAACACCAGGGAAAAATTCATCTTCACATAGACCTAGTTGTATGCTTATTACTAATGAATATCTGGCATTGTTTAAGCAACTTCTGGAGGAATTGTAAAAAATCTGCGTGCACTAAATCATGCTTTTCATATGGATTTTTTTGTCCAAGTTTAAAGTCCCCATTAACCGTAGGAATGTTGACTAGTGTCCACACACAAGGTTCTGAGCGATGGCGTTTAAGGAAACCAACGGATAAATTATTAATAATTGCCACCTTAGAAATAATCAATAGGTTTTGTTACGTAAATCTGGTAAGACATGTTTTTGCGCCATGAAATATGTATTGTACAATTTCAAAGTGGCACTTCAAGGTTGATTTTGCGTAAGAACCACAAAGAAAGTTCCAATTTGAGCATTAATGAAAGATACAAGCAAAGGGAAAGAGGCTAACTGTGCCTCGTTCTAGAATTCCACGTACAAGATTTGTCACTTCAAGCACCATATTTTCCGGTAATTGGATCACGCACAGTGGTTTTTTTCCATTTTTCGTTTTAATGAAATGGTTCTACGTGTTTTGCTTTTTGTGCCACTGGGTTTCGGTGTTTGCTTAATTGCGTGAGTGGGAAATGGGTTAAGTGAAGTTACAAATTGTGCATGCAGACATTTCTTGTTCTTTAACTGTGCTGCAAAAGGGTTTGGTATGCGGATTCATGTTCGCAATCCATTGAGAATCACCCATCGTGTTAAGTAGCGCAGAGATGCAGATCTGCACACACACACACATACATACCGTATTGTGCCATAATAATAATTCCTAATTCAATTAATTATTTCGGTTTACCGTTAACGGTTATGAGGCCTTAAGAGCGCACAAGGATACAGACAAATAGAGCAGAAACCGTACTAGTGGAACGTAATTGGTACTGTACGAGTAACGCAGATTTATTAATTGCAGAAATCTGTTTGATGGATGCAACCGATGGCCACTTTTTGAACCAGATTTTGGTGTTGGTGATTTTGCGCGCCCATTCCAAAACTCAATTCGCTGCTCCAATTTCCAAGCTATTACACAGTGGGATTGTTGCAAAACCTTATAGGAAATTGTCGATTACATGGCATAAATTAGAGCATTTTATTCAATAAGTTTCCTGTTTAATGAATTTTTTCACCGGGTATGATTGAATGCTTTTGGTTTCTGCGAAAATTCCGCTTTTACTGTACATTCTGTATAAAATTATATGGAACTTCAATTGGATTTAGGGGCAGGCAAAAGGGTTTGTTTAGTGAAGTTAGAAATAATCGATGGGTTTTTAAAAACCATTGGAGAATTTTAAAATTTTCTATTGCAGTTTTTTTTATGAGAATTAAAATTTTTAACATTTTATATACTCTTGTTTACTAGTTATGAATTTTCAAAGACAGTCGCGCCCTATTTGAACAGCAACTTTTAAGGTGAGTTTTTGAAAAATTTCCAAAAATCACCGAAAATTTCTGGAAAACTGAAATTTTGGATTAGTGATAAGTTGCGCCTCGTCCACTAAAATACCAAAATTCCGCTTGATTATCTGCGCCTGAGAAGATTTGATGAATTTTCAAAGACAATCGCGCTCAGATAAAACAGCCGAGGTAAATTTTAAAATGTTTCTAAAAATTACTCAAAATTCCTGCAAATGTGAAATTTTTAGCTCTGGAAAAGTTGTGTTTCTTGTACTGAAATGCAAAAATGATGCTTTGCTACTTCACTACCTGCACTTCAAAAAATTGATGATGAATGATTTTTCAAATGTAGTGGCACCCCATTTAAACGCTCGAGTTTCAAGTTAATTTTGAAAATTGCGCAAAAATCACCGAAAATACCTACACAACTGAAATTTCGGAGTTTTGAAAATGTCCATTTCTCTTACTAAAATGCAAAATTTCACTTTTGCATTTTCATTCAAAAATCTACATCTTTTCTAGAAAAATGCAAAAATTCGACTTTATTCCCAGCGCTTAAAAAGATTTGATAAATTTTCACACAATCGCACCCCATTTAAACGCTCGTGTTTCAAGTAAATTTTGAAAATTGGCAAAAATCACCGACAATTCTTGCACAACTGAAATGTTTATTTTTCCTACTGAAATACAAAGTTTCGCTTTCTTACTAGCGATTAGTAAGATTTGAGGAATTTTTAAAAACATCGTATTCAATTAAAACATCAAATTTTGCGAAAAATTTCAAAAAATTCCCAAAAATGTCTCGAAATTCCTAGAAATATGAAACTTTGGGCTCTTGAAAACTTGTGCTTCACCTTCTGAATATCAAAAATTCTAGTTTACTACTTGCGCTTTATAAGATTTATTATTTTCATTTATTTCAATTTTCAAAGACAATCGCACCCCAATTTAAACGCTCGAGTTTCAAGTAAATTTTGGAAATTGCGCAAAAATCACCGAAAATACTTGCACACTGGAAATTTTGGAGGTTTGAAAATGTCTATTTTTTCTGCTAAAATGCAAAATTTGACTTTATTACGTATGCTTGATAAGATTTCATTAATTTTCAACGGCAATCGTACCCTAATACATATTCAGATTTTGAGGCAAATCTGAAAAAAATTCCCAAAAAATACAGGAAAGTCCTACAAATGTAAAACTTTGGATTCGTGAAAATATGCGCTTGCTCTACAAAAACTCAAAAATGTCAGTTTACCACCAGTTGCAGTCGAAATACTTCATCAATCAAGTGTTGCTTAATGTTTTTGGGCCACCCTATACAAGGTGACTTCCGGTAGATGGACCTTTGGGGTTTTTCAAAAAAGTTTTTCTGGCCGATATACAGGGTGTGAGGGTTTGGGCAGTAGACTTGGAGTCTTTTGTCTGAGGATTACGCGAATTGGAAAACTGTAACAGACGTTACGTAAAAACAAGCGGTTCCCAGTATAGAAAAATCATCACGAAATCGCCTAATTGTTCTTCGTCTAGTGGGAATCGGACGGTTTTCGATGCACCAACTTGAGCGCTAAATTGGCAAACAATGTCACGTTTTAAGACACATAACTGTGCTTTGCCACACTTATTTCTTTCAACTGTGAGTCATTTGATTAAAATTTCGCGTGAATTATTTGCGAGTTTTGTCATATTTTGGGTCCCGATTATTTTGGAGGATGCATCAGAAGGAAAAACTGGCGATTTTTTGACCTACTGGTCGATCAACCGCGGAGATTGAAACGTTTCGCCAATTATCGCGTACATGCTAATTACTAGGAAACCTAAAAAAAGGCGACAATTCATTTCCAGCCAAGGCGTATGAACGGTTCCAATGCAGGTCCAACCTTGACTTTCTAATGGTTCTGTGTGTGTGTTTGTTTGCGGTCAGAAGTATGTGCACTTTTTCCTTGCGTCCGCATAATCAGCTTCTGGTCAGCGCGAAGAATTTCGGAATTTATTTCATTCAATTCACAGTTTTCTCCGTGTATAATCTCAGGCGGGGTATTATGAATCGGCTGCGGCTGAAACCTTTCAAAAGCAACATAATTAGATGAATTCTTATGCAACTGCTGACCCAGTTCCTTCCACTGCTTCAGCCTCAACATCGCATTTCTTTGCTGCTGCTGCGGAACACAGTCGATGCATACGAATCGGTTCCTTCGCCTTCAACTGGAAAAACCTCCAAAATATCGTTTAAGTCGAAAATATTGCTGCTGGTTGTGTCATGATTGGCTTTCTCTGCCCGTTCCAAGAATGAATCAATTCGCATTTGGTCAAGTCTCTCTTTTCTGTGTTCAAAGCTTGCAGCCTGAATCATTGACCTTTCAATAGAGGAAATGTGACTTCCGCAAACCCCCTTTCTTTTTAAAATGCACCACTGGCTCAAGTTACTTCTTTCCGGCCTGTAAATTCTCCTAAATAGGAAAACTCACCGAAAACGTGTCTTATTTACTTATACATTGATTTATTCATGCAGCATATGAGCGCGGCATATAACTGTATTTTGTCATACTTATTGACGGCGTTTTGAGTCATCTTTCCAGTTCATTTAACAGCTACGAAATGCTTAATCGGGTTCTGGTACAGTCACCGTAGGTGCTAATCGCTCATTAGAGGGATTTTCGCAGCTTTTATTCGGCGTTTTTCCCAATTCCTCACACTAATGTGACATTTGCTTTTGTGCTTATCTGATTAACATTTTGACAGAAAAATCAGTTTCAGAAGTTGCACATGTACTGATTTTTTGATGAAGGTTTGGTTAATGAGTGCACAAAAGTTTATTCAGCTGGTTAGGGGGCTTCGCTCTACCATCCTGTATATGTTGTGTCAAGTAAAGTATTGCTCAATGCCAAAGCTATTTTCGAGTAGAAGAAGGCTTTAAATGATTAAAGCTTTTTTTGATTTTTCATTAATTTTTTTGAGAAAGGTTTGCATAAATGTGCGCGGTTTTCTTTTCTCAGAAAAATAATAAATTATTATCCAGCGCCGGTATTAAAATGGAGTTTTCACATTTCAGTAGAAAAGGCATACAATGCTAAAAATCCGAAATTTTAGTCTTCCACAATTTCTTCGTTTCAATTGACCTCTATTGTGTTTCAAAATTTTTCAAATCTTATGCAGCGCAGGTGATGGAGTGAAATTTCGGTTTTTTCGTAGACAATATACAAGTTTTCCAGAATAAAAAGTTTTAGATTTACGGAACATTTAGTTGATTTTTGGAAAAATTTCATTTCATCTTAAAATTGAGTATTTAAATAGAGCGCGATCGTCTCTGACTTAATCAATACTTAATGAAGTGGAATCTTTTTTGGGAAAAGTGGAAAAATTTTCGACTGTAAAAAGCTTCAAATCTGCACGAATTTTCATTGATTCTTAAGAAATTTTCTAAATGTATCTAAAACAGCGGGTGTTTTAATTGGGAGCGATTGTGTTTGAAAATTTCTAAAATCTTATCAAGCGCAGGTAATGAATTGGAATGTCGTTTTTTTTGGAGAAGAAGCGCAAGTGCTCAAGAGTCCAAAGTTTCACCTTTGTACAAATTTTCGTTGATTTTAGGGAAATCTTTAAAATTTACCTTAAAAGCGAATGTTTAAATGAGACGCAATTGTCTTTTAAATTCATCAAATTTTTATCAAGCGCAGGTAAAGTGAGTTTTCAGTATTTTCGTAGAAAAGGTGCAAACATCCAAGAATGCGAAACGTCAGATTTGCACAAATTTGTCTTGATTTTCGAGAATTTTTTAAAATTTAACTAAAATATCGGGTGCTTTAATCGGAAGCAGTTGTGTTTGAAAATTCATCAAATCGCATCAAGCGCAGCAAATGAAGTGAAGTGTCGGTTTTTTCGTAGCAGAAGCGCAAATGCTCAATAATCCAAAGTTTAACATTTGCATAAATTTTCGTTGATTTCAGGGAAAATTTGAAAATTTACCTGAAAAGCGAATATTTAAATGAGACGCGATTGTCTTCGAAAATTCATGAAATTGCATCAAGTGCATGCAGTAAAGTGAGCTTCCGGTATTTTCGTAGAAAAGTCGCTAATGCTCTAGAGACCAAAGTTTCACATTTGCACAAATTTTCGTTAATTTTAGGGAAACTTTCAAAATTTGAATGAATGAATCAAATCTTATCGAGGGTAGGCACTAAATTGAAATTGTGTATTTCAGTAGAAAAAATGCAAATTTTCCAGCCTCCGAAATTTCAGCTTTGTAGGAATTTCGGTTGATTTTTGAAAAAATTTCAGATTTGATCTAAAAATCCGGTGCTACAATTGAACTCAATCGTCGTGGAAAATTCATAAGCAGTTTATGTTGTAGTATTTTGTTTTGTTTTTTTTTACTCGCTTTGTCCATAAAATTTGTGAATTTTTCCGTGGCAATAAAGCATATTTTGATTTGATTTGAAAGTTCTGAAAATTTGAATTTTCATCCAAAAATTCCTGTCACTCATCGTTGAAAATTTCAGTCATTTAGACACTCTAATTGATTTTTGGGAATTTTTCAAAAACTCAAAACTCAAAATTTGTGACTCGACAATTCAAATTACCACTAATTAAAAAATCGAACAAGTCGCTCATTAAAGCAATTTCAAACACAAAAAACGAACCACTGGTACTGTTAGAACGCTGGTGAACCGAACGGCCAAACCGGTACCGTTCTTCAGGGCTTTCCTTGCATATCAAATGGATCACATATTTCTATTGGGTACCGTCCAATAAAACCCATTCCCAATCGATTTCTCCACTTGTTCCATTTTCCCATTCTTTCCCACTTTAGTACCGGTACCACAATTCCCAGATAGATCGCCTAAAGCCCGAACCACACACACATTTTCTTCGCGGCATTATTTCGATATGATCGGTGTTCCACAAAGTCATTCATACCTGAGAAAGTTGCGTTTAGCATTTTAAGGAGCGGCCGCGAAGAATGCGTGTAATGTGGAATATGGGTTCCATGGGTTCCAGCTGCAATGTCAGCAACAAATTCACTTAATGCGTGGGTTCGAAGGCAAATAGCTGCATTGGTAAAACTGCTAATTGGACAAGGTTGTCGCGATAATCCTTGGATTTTTTGCATTTCCTATTGGAGAGAAGAATTCTGCATTCAATTGCGTGATTTTTCAATGACTTCGAGAATTTGGCGCTGAAAAAACTTGAATCGAACATTTTCTTCCGCAAAAACTTTTTGGATTAGTTCCACTAGTTTTCTTCATTGGTTAGCGGACCTTCTCCACCTATTGAAGATATGTTTTTTCCATCTAAATCAAGGTTTCTTCATTGTCTCCCATGGAGTAACATGGAATGCAGAAAATAGTTGGTGTAATGTGGAAAATTGAAGGCTTGCGCCTGTGGTCAGAACCAGGCTCGGCGCGTACAAAACAAGCTGAAGCTCTAAATTGATTTTCATTGGTGGCTTTATTAGTTACACCAAGGAAACTATGTAACAAAAGGTTTTTTCCTTCACTTCTTCATTCACGATCATCGCATCTTCAGTGCTTAACCAGCTGAGGCTTAATGTCCGAAGCGAACTTATCTTCATCAATCATTCTTCATCTTTCTGTCTATGGCAAATGGCAAAATTGTCCAGAAATACACAGGTTACCCACAAAAGGTTATTTAGTCAAGGCGAAATCTTCAAGGCCTGTGAACCCTCGCCCATCGTGTTCTTCAAAATGCGACTTTTGAAGATCCGGCTGAATCAAATGAAGTCATCAAGATTCACGTGAAATGTGAAATGATTCACTTCTTCTCCAGCCAATAAATCTTCAGTTGTTAAAGGTGCGAAATCCACCAAATTGAAACACCCAAAACTTCCTCGGGTTCTTCATTTCGTCCAACCCTGACCACCCGTATAAGTTTGAATTGTACAAAATTATCAACCGCTATCGGCACTTCTCGCATATGTAAAACAGTACCACCTGATGGAAGATCATCGCAGGCCGTCTTCCTCGAACCTTCGTCCGAAGAGCAACTGTTGTCCACACCTTTTGATCGAAACTTACCTAGTTTTTCTTTAGCGAGTCACAAATTGAACACATAAATGTAATCGTTGTGAAAATCCACAGTTTTTCCGTCAGACTTTTCACTGCTAGAACTAACGGTACTGCAACTGGTACCCAACACGACAGACACGGATGGTACCATCAAAGTTGCGACGCAAACTAACCGAAGAAGCCGTACGGAATTCTTGAAAGAAGGCGCTCGGGTTGTACAACCACAGGTAGTCTAGTGGGAGAAAGGTAACTTGGTTTCGAATCGCCGATCAAGTGGTACTGGGTGACTCAAAATTGGTACGATGTACCAGACTGAGTACAAAACCGTGATCAAGTCCTCTGCAAACAGTCGCAGTTCCATTGCTGAAATGTACAACATTTGGTACTAGTTGCGGGGGCCCTGAATGTGAAGAACATGTTGCAAACTCCATTAGTAGTTTAGTGCCGTATTGTTAAACATTAAGGCCTTTATCAAGCGATTAATTCCTTAGGAAGATGTACTAAGGCCAAAAAACAAAAACGCACAACAAATTATTAATTTATCTTCTCAAGACTGCACTCTAAAAGATAATTTCTTATGGTGGTTGAGCTGCGATAAACCCGAAAGGTTGCATTTGGACAAACAAAGCTTTAGGGCGGTGATAAATAACAGATTCTTGATGTCAACATGCCGATGATGGAACCCCGCGTGTTTGACTTCGACCTTGCTTGGTCCTCCCTGTACATTTTTCTTCAATGAAACTAGCAGAAGAATTGCCTGTCTGGGGCCTTTTGGAATTTTTTTTGATCAGGTAAAGAACCGAAAACTCGCTGCGCTCACGTTTTCTTCCCAGAACTGCTTTGTTGATTAATGGAAATTTGCACGTTTTTTTGAATCTATTTATTTGATTTGCTGTTGGGTTTGGAAGATTTTGCTATAGAAAATGTATTGGTCTCAGTAGGAGAAGACGAGGAAGAAAGTACCTCATTGGGAATTATCTTATTTATATTTTTTTGAGTAGTTTAATGGCTGGCTAAAAACCCTGGCCAGCAAGAGCAACTTCAAACATCAAATCCATATTCAAAAATGTTCTAACGATGCCTCGAAATCGAAACGCTTTCCACTTTTAGGACGCACTTTACCCTATAAAGTGCACTAAGAAGTGAATTTCCGTCCTCACTGATTTCAGAGAAAATAAAGGTCAAACTAAAGCGTGCGTAAACAAACACAAAATTATGTATGAATTTTTTTTAAATCCTAAAAGTAGCTTGACTACTTTTAGTCCTGATGACTCAAAACCGAAACCTTTGCAACTTATAAAAGAAACTATGCCCAATAGAACTCACACGAAAGTCGCTTTCGATCCTAGCGGATTTCTGACCGAAGAACTGTTGAAATCCGGTCTGCATAAGTAAGCTAAAAAAATAGGCAAATTTTCAAAAATTCCTAAAAATATCCTGATGATGCGTCAAAAACGAAACTTTTGTTGCTTATAGAGCAGACTACCCTACAAAAGCTCTACAAAAGTGAGTTTCCAACTTTGCAAGTCCCGCAGCAAATCAATGTCAAACTTCGATCTGCTAAAATATCCGCGAAAACCAGCAAGTAAATTTGAAAATTTCTGGAAAATTTTGTAATGGTGACTAAAATTCAAAACTTTTAACGCTTACAGACGAAACTCCGTTCTTCAAAATCATCCAAAAGTTACTCTCTGGCCTTGTTAGTTTGTGAGTTATTAAATACTGAAGTCCGGCCTGTAAAGATAACCTCTTAAACCAAACGCAATTTTGAAAAATTGTCAAAAATGGTGTGATGATGACTAACAAACGACAGTTTTTCCATATATGGAACGCCCTTTTACCTACCCAACGCACCCAGCAATAAATTTCTAGCTTTGTTGGTTTTTGCAAAAAGTAATTCCAAAGTTAGGCTTGCATCAGCAAACCACAAAGTTTTATCACAAATTTAAAAAATCTTCCATTTAGCCTGACGATGACTGACAAACGAAACTTTTGCAGCTTATCGAGCGTAGTTCACCTTACAAATGCTTTGCAACAGTGACTCTTTAGCTAAGAAACTTCCTGAGATAATAAATGTCAAACCTTGACCTGCTTAAATATCGGGAAAATTAACGGAAAAAGTAAATTTGAAAAATTATTGAAACTTGCCTGATTATGACTCAAAATCAAAACTTTTACCGCGTTTAAAATGCACTTTGCCCTACGAAATACATGCAAAAGAAACTACGTAATTTTGTTGGATTCTGAACTAAGAAATACTAAACTCCAGCTTGCCAAAACAATCTGGAAAACTAAACAAAATGTTGATAATTTATCAAAAATAGCCTGATGATAACTGAAAATGCAAGTTTATCCCACTTACAGAGGAGGCGGTGCACTACAAAATGCATTCAAAACGTACTTTCCCTGTTTGCAATTGGTAGAGGAAATTGGAAATAAATGCTTAAATCCAGTCTGCAAAACCCATCTGGAAAACCAGACGCGATTTTCAAAAATTCCAGAAAATGGCCCGATGACGGCTCAAAATCGAAACTTTTAAGAGAGACCGTCGTCTACAAAATGCGTGCAAGCGAAAATTTCCAACTTCACTGGTTTTTGAGAAAATAAATGTCAAACTTATGCCTGCATAAACAACCGCAAATTTAAAAAATCTTCAAAAACCCTGACGGTGACTCACAATCCAAATTTTTCCATATAAAGAGCACGCTTTCGCCTACAAGACACACTGAAAAACAAACTTGCAAAACTCCAACTTTGTTGCTTTTGAACTTAAGCTTGCATCAGCAACCACTAAATTTAATGGTAGATTGAAAAAATTAATAACCTGATGATGGCTCAAAAACGAAACTTTGTTCACTTATTGAAGACACTGCGTCCAAGAAAACGGATTGAAAACTGATTTTCTAACTTGGAATCTAACTTGGAGCAAATAAATGCTAAGCTGAGACATACAAAAACCATCACGAAAACCATACGCAATTGTTTAAAAAAATTCTTGAAAATTTCTTGATGATGACAGAAAATGGAAACTTTGTCCACTAATTCAAGAAACTGCGTCCTGCAAAACGAATTGAAAACTGACTTGCTGACTTGGAATCCTACAGAGGAAATAAATGCTTAACTCAGACTTAACAAACCACCACGAAAACCATACGCAAATTTGTTGAAAAATTCCTGAAAATGGAAACATTATTTACTTATTGAAGAAACTGCTACCTATAAAACGCATTGGAAACTGACTTTTTCTCTTGGCATTCTGTAGTGCAAATGAATACTAAACTGAGACATAGAAAAACCAGCACGAAGACCAAACGCAAATTTGTTGAAAAATTCTTGAAAATTTCCTGATGATGAAGGATAATTGAAACTTTGTTCACTTATTGAAGAAACTGCGTGCTGCAAAACGCATTGAAAACTGACTTTCGAACTTGGGATCGTACAGACTTAAAAAACCACCACAAAAACCATACGCAAATTTGTTGAAAAATTTCTGAAAATTGCCCGACAATGGCTGAAAGTCAAAATTGTTGCCACTTGAGCAGAATTTGCTCTACAAAATACATACAAAAAGAACTCTTTTACTTGGTTACTTCAAAGAGTTTTACTTGATTTAGCATGAGCCCTATTTGGTTGGTTTGGACTAAATACTTTTTTCAATATGGAAAAACGTGCCACGGCCTCATATCGGAAGAAAAGCGGTCGTTTATGCCATAAGAATCGCATAATCTAGTTTAATAACAGAGCATGTCCATAATGGAGGGTAAATGCACTACTTAGCGATTTCCTCGCCGCAAATATTATTAATAATCCAGTTCAATAACCGGCCGAAGACGAACATCTTTGAATTCTAATTAAGCCATCTGAAGCATGAAGAACTATCGTTAGACGTTAGATTTTTGCCAAGTCGTTGCGCAATTGAACACTTACCACTTTGCCTCCACCATTGAAGAGTTATTAAGCGTAAATTATTTACAACCCGTGGGGAAAATCGACTACTTTCCAGCAACTGTTGGGTGATTGGAGCCTGGAAATGTGAAACTGGCAGGCTGAAGAAGGTTTCCACCACGATTAGCAGGAGCAGTTGAATGGCCTATATTTGGCAGCACTGACCAATATACCGAGTGTTTGGGTTCGGTTGGGCCGCATAAGCGGGTCGCATTCTTCACGATGGCCCTGGCCAGTGAAGAACGGTTCATTCTTCAGGTCGATGAACGCCCAATATGGCCGCAATTTGGACGTGGATCAACTGCACTGTTTCCTCATCGGTTCGTTAATAGCCAGCAAAATGTTTTATTATCCCGATGTAAAGAGTGTCCCCAAAATAGCCAAAGCGGCTGCAAATCGAATCCTAAACCAGCTGTGAATGATGTCCGATTCGCAGGCATTAACCAGGGATTTTGTTGTTGAAATGATTGAGCTCGTGCACTACGGCCTGTTCCCACACAGCAATAATTATTATGAGTAAAGTGCGCGACTTCGCCGAGATTTAAATTGCTAATTGGAATTCGGACACCAACACCTGCCTCTTGGTGGGAAGTTAAGGATTCCAGTGGGACCACGCATGTGGTGAACTACCGAAAAAAATCAAAAAATTTTATTCCTCACTCAACACATGCTATGTTAAGTGGATGGCAGTTGCTGTCCGGGACCAATCGCACATATGGATTGTTCCCACTGCGGATCAGCATCCTCTGTTGGTGGCCCGGCGTCCTTTCCAGCCAGACAACATCAAATTTATCCAGAACTGGCCGATCTGGGTGCAGAGTGGAGTTCTGAATTAATTCGAACTCATAGGCTGTGGTACCATTGAAGCCCAGCTTGAAGCAGACCTCGTTCAGGTCTTCCTGAGTGTTGTTCGACTTGAAGCATCCAGCTGTCCAAAGTCCGGCCACTCGCATCAGAACCTGACCGGCATTTGGCCTGGAAGTGTGTTTTTTAAGCAACAATCTAAGATTACTCCAAAGAACTCACTTGTTGTTTTTATCGTTCTTAAAGCTGAAGCAATTCGCTTCATCTTCACCGCCAGTACAATCGGATTTTTCATCGCAGATCATTTCCTGAAGGACGCACTTTTCGGTGCTGCAAATTCAGGATTCTACCAAAGGTTTGGATATATTTGACAACTTACTTTCCACAATGGAAATATCCGGGCTGGCAGCCGCAAATCTGCGGGTCTTCGTCGCTCCGGTCTGCGCAGTTGATGGTTCCGTCGCACAACTTCTCCGGATTGGTCAGCTTCAGGTAGTTCCGGCAGCTGCACACATCTGGCTCATCCTCATTGTCTCCGCAGTCGTCCTTTTGGTTGCAAAATGACGATTTGGGCACGCACTTGCCGTTTGGACACCTCAATTCAGTTTGCGAACATCCTAAGCAAAAGCCAAGGTCGAACAAACTCAGAGTTAACGACATTTTAAGCAAATAATTGAATATGGAGAATATTTGACGCTAGGCCTGACCTGCGACTACATATTCAGTTTGGCAGGAAGTTGTCAATTCGGAGTGGATCTTTATAGTTTGTTCAAGTGTAGAACACTACACGTTAGTTTGTCGAGGATTTCTGGGTAGAAATTCGAGGATGGGGCGCCAGCTTGCAGAATAATTTATAATATGTAATATATAATATGTAAATCTTCCAGCTTGAACTAAGCGTAGTTTTCCGACTAGCAGCTGAAATTTCATGGATTCTTTATACGTATTTCTTTTTGTTTTTACCCATTTCAAATAAGTTTGGCTTTGAACAGATTTTCTGCTGTATTAAACACATTTTCGTCTTTCCTTCCAGGTGGCACTACGCAGCTTTCGGTAACATTAGCATTACTTTGCCCTACGTTGCCATCTAGTTGTAGATCTTTTAGTCCCATCTTCATCAGCTGACTCGTAGGGTAGATTTGGTATCGATTGAGCTATTGGTTCTTTCGCAGTAAATTTTTAAACGTTGGAAATATTTTGGGCGGTTTTGTACTTTTACATCGCGCTGATCTGAAGCTTTTCGTTAAAAAAAAAACGATTTAGATGTTGAAATTTTTGTTCCCGTATTAAGTACAAGAAGCATCAGCTTACTCATAGTGTGAATTTGATTCCGATTAAACTATTGATTCCTTCACAAGAATTTTTTAACCTTTGGAAATATTTTAGGCGGTTTTGTATTTTTACATTACGCTCATCTGAAGCTTTTTTTTTAAAGAAAAACGCTTCAGATATTGAAATGTGGGTTCCATTGTTTAATACAAGAAGCATCAGCTTACTGAAGATGTGTCTTTGGTTCCGATTAAACCATTGATTTCTTCACAAGAAATTTATAAACTTCGGGAATATTTTGGGCGGCTTTGTATTTTTATATCACGCTCATCTGGAATTTTGGATGGCAACATATATGGAAATTTGGGTTCCAGCATCGAATTCAAGAAGCATGAGCTTACTGTTGGTGTGAATTTGGTTCCAATTAAACTATTGATTCCTTCACAAGAATTGTTTAACCTTTGGAAATATTTTGGGCGGATTAGTATTTTTACATCACGCTCATATGAAGCTTTTTGTTAAAAAACGCTTCAGATGTTGAAATGTGGGTTCCATGGTTTAATACAAGAAGCATCAGCTTACTGACAGTGTGAATTTGGTTTCGTTTAAACCATTGATTCCTTCACAACAAATTTATAAACTTTGGCAATATTTTGGGCGGATTCGTATTTTTACATCACGTTCATCTGAAGCTTTTCGTTAAAAAACTGATTCAGATATGGAAATTTGGGTTCCAGTGGTCAATACAAGAAGCATCAGTTTACTGATTTGATGAATTTGGTTCCGATTGAACCATTGACTCATTCACAAGAAATTTCTGAACTTGAGGAGTATTTTGGGCGGGTTTCTATTTTTATATCAAGCTCATCTGAAGCTTTTCCTAAAGAACGGCTTCAGATATAGACATTTGGATTCCAGCTTTCAATACAAGAAGCATCAAATTTGGATCCGATTAGACTATTCATTCTTTCACAAGAATTTTTTGAACTTTGGAAATTTTTTGGGCGGTTTTGTATTTTTACATCACGCTCATCTGAAGCTTTTCGCTAAAAAACCGCTTCATATATGAAAATTTGGGATCCTGGATTCAATACAAGAAGCATCAGCTTACTGATAGTGAGAATTTTGTTCCGATTAAAAAAAAATTTCCGGCACAAAAATTTTTTAAACTTTGGGAATATTTTGGCAAGTTTAGTATTTTTACATCACGCTCATGTTTTTTCCAGTTTAAAAAAAAACATGCTCCTCCCTATTTGGCCTCATTGTTACTCACCACACTGATTGTTCAGGTAGCACTTGTTCTCACTCTCGTAGCATAAAGTGGCTGACTCGTCGCTTCCGTCGTAGCACTCCTGGACACCGTTGCACACCTGCCCCTGCGCCAAACAGGTGCCAAGCTGGCACCTGAAGCCGTCGCATTTGGGGGTAGCGCCAGCGCCAATCTTCATCTCTAAAAATATGCGTGCTGCTTCATTCTCTATTGGAGGGATTTTCACTTACCCATCAACTGCCGGATTTGATGCCTGTAATATCGAATGCTAGTGAACTGCCTTGTGAAAGAGAACCCGCAATGGCCGAGTCGCTCGTGAAACACTGCGGCCGGGTACCATCCCAGTCTGGAGTCGCATATGATGGTTCCCATCCAGGCGTTGTTGTCCTGAAGTACTTAATTGTTTTATTTCATGATTGGCTTGAAACGTTTAACCAACCTGGCAATCATCCTCCAGTTTCCTTTCAAAGCACCTGTAGCCAGCTGTGCAGTTCTCTCGCGGAAACAGCGGCAGGAAGCGCACATTTTCGTCCATGGTTCGGCCTACTGCGTAGCATTTTTCGCGCTTTTCCCCATCCCACCTGAATTTTCCGATTATTAGTACTATTGGCTACAATTGGAATTTTTCTGTGGTCTACCAAGCGTCCAAATCAGCTGCTTGGACATAGCGAGTCCACCGGACTTTGTCTGCCAGGCGCAACAGGACAATGTCCGTGCCAGGAACGCTGGAAATGTTCTGGATGCGCACGATTTGCTCATGCGGCCCGGGAACTGTTAAATGAAGCTTCCCCTTGCCCAAGACAGCTACCACGTAGCTGAGCTCGAAACTAGAGGGAATTGTCCACAAGTTACTCACTCTAGTCTCAAAGGATCTTGTTTTGAGTGAACTCTTCCCACCTGTGAAAGCTTTTGAAGCATTTTTGCGTAGTGACAATCCAGGATTTATCCAGCAAGGTACCCATGCACTGGTAGCGTCCTTCCACGTAAATAACCGCCATCCAGGGCGACAAATACAGCTCACTGGCGTGTTCCAGATTGCTGTAGTACAACGAGCTGCTGCTGGAAGTGTTTCCACAGCTGGAAAAGACCAAATTTGCTTCTCGCACTCATCAATGTGTGCAAGCACCTACTTGACATAGAGCCCTGAGCAATTTTCGACTTTTCTCGGTGTTTCCAGAGTGAAATCCAGGACGATCAACTTGCGACTCTGGATAGTGGGTTGGGAATAGGAGGTATAGTCGTGGAACCCGAGCAGGTTGCATTGGCTGGTCGCAATTGCGGGCGGTGAATCGTTTTTGCCGAGGCAAAAAGGCGTCCAACTGCCGTTCTGGTAGAGAGTCAATAGGCCCTTAGTCTGGAGGTTCGCACGGCCGTCTTTATCCAGGTCAATGGTGAGGCCGTTGGTGAGGGCGGCTGGAAATGCTGGAATAATCAGCAATTTTCCACAGGAAAAAACCGTACATACCGCAATCCATTTCATCTTCTTTATGTGGACAGTCCACATGGCCGTCGCATCTTTTCTCCTGGCCGATACACGTTCGGGACATTCTGCAGGCGAACTCTGCTTGATCACATTGGACTGATTTCATGGAAATAAATGAAATATTCAACGTTTTTTTTGACAAAACTGTCAACATTTCTAAAGCGATGTTGCACGTTCTAAAAGCTCCGTTAAGCTCTTTCGCTAGCGATGTAAAAAATTATTATTATATATTATTCTTGCTCAATTTATTAGCGAAAAATGAGCAACAACGGGACGGAAAACAGGAAATTTTGGCCTAATCTTGCACTTTAATGTCTAATATACAAATTTTGCCTTTTGTGTCAGAATTTCCTCACGCGCGTTGTTACAAATGAATCGACTTTCCAATTCTCTTTCCAATGATATCAAAACGAACTCTTGAAACGAAATGGTTCTTGAGAAACGTCGAAAAAGGCAGCGTCGTATTTGAGTAGATTTCGCATTTCGAAAAACAAACAGTCCAATTTAATACTTCTTGAAATGGGCGGCATTTCTTAGGCGTTGGTTGACTTTCTAAAAGCGCCATTTAGTTCTCTCTTTAGTGGTGAAAAAATTAGTGCTTCTGCTCAATTTGTTTCCGAGAAATGAGCAAAAACGGGATGCAAAAGATGAAATTTTGGCCTAATCTGGAACCTATATGTCGGATATCCAAATTTCGGTTTTTGAGTGAAAACTACCAGAATTTCCCCACGCGCGTTGGTACGACCGAATCGAGTTTCCCATTATTCCCGTGGAAAACCGTCGAAAAATGCAACGTCATGTTTGAGTAGATTTTGCAATTCTGCTCTTCATACAGAACCCTCATTGAGAATACATTTGCTTACCGCAATCGGTTTCATCGCTCAGATCCGCACAGTCGCTGATCCCATCGCAAATTGCCGCCGGATCAATTGCTTGTACATAATGGGCACATGTGCAGTTCGCCTCATCTGAACCGTCCTGGCAGTCCACTAGTCGATTGCAGCGTTTCTCCATAGGAACCACTTGGAGCAACCTGAAAAGCGCCACTTCAAACCAACCGGTTCGGATCCAACCCTGCACTTACACTTGGCATCTGAAGTTCCAACCATCAAAGCCCGTCATCAGGCTTTCGACTTTAAGAGCCCTTGCATTCGAGGCGTTAAGGGCTTGACCCACTACTTCTGAGCTGGAAAGATCCTCACTCGAAGGATCATCTTGAAGGTTTGCAACGCCATTATTTGCCTGCTTGTAGAAGCCATTGAAGTGGTTCGGACAGTTTAGCTCATCGTCGCCCAGAAGGCAGTCGACTATTCCATCGCATCTTCGCTTTTTTGCTATGCATCTTCTGATGCTGCTGCAGACGTAGCCGGGGCAGCTTTGCAACGGCATGTACATCGTTCTTTTCGCGTCATCTGCAGCGCGGTTTGATGGTTATTTGATTGCAGGATATCTCAACGGGTTCTTACTGGTATTTTCTGCTATCCACGGCAGGTATTTGCTCACTCTAGTGTACACTCCGGGCTCGTGAGGGCGCGCGCAGCCCTGTCCGTGACTGACAATTCCTCCCAGGTACCATTGGTCCGGGTTCTCCGGGTTTCTGCACATTAGCGGCCCGCCCGAATCGCCCTGGCATGCGTCTTTTCCTCCTTCAGCTAACCCTAGAAGGATAATTAAAACGTATTTCTTCTGGTTCGGACGGTTTTAAACTGGTTCCAGTTTGTAGCCCACCTGCGCAAATCTCGTCCACATCATTGTCGTCCTTGTGCTTGCAGTGGTGCAGAATGGGGATGTCGGTTTCCCGCATATGATCAGCTGAAACAAAACCATCGATTAGGCTCGACTCGAAAAGAGTACCAGTTTGGCTGGTCGCAAACGCCAGATTGACATCAGAACAGTTTTCTGAACATCATGGACTACACTTTGGACAGTTATGGAAACTTCGACGACGAGCAGCACATGCTGGAAACGGAGGGCCGGAAAAAAGCCGATATGCAAAAGCGGGAAGACGCCGCTCAAATAGAGGAGAATTTTCGGCTGAAGTGCATCAGAGGCTACTACATGAGGTCGCCTATCAACCGCACGGAAACACCACTTCAGAGCTTCGCTTTTCAGACTCTCCTGGCACCACAAGAAGCAGTTCATCCTGGCCATTGTGCAGAGCATTGACTGTTTTGACACCCTTCTGAGAATCATCAGCTACATTTCCTCGCTCTACGGAAAAATGGCCGCCTATTCTGATGCCAGCACGCATTGCCGAACCGAACCGGATCAGATCCTTGTGGACCATGACCGGAGTCTAGAAGGCGACTTTCTCAGAGGTTCCAGTTCCGAGGCTGCACAGAGGAGGTTAAATGCTGGTTATTTCCAGAGACGATCTGCAATGACTTGGGCTGGCTGAGCACTTTGCCGCACCCCCGGCAAATCCTGCTGGTGCTGAGCCTGTTGCAGATGGGCGGAAGCGGTCTGATCCGGAAAATGTACATCCCCATTGTGAATATCTACAACAGAAAGCTGCTGCTGCAGGAGCAGGCGGAGACTCAGCAGCTCGGTACTAGTTTCCACCAAGTATTTACCTTTACCCCATTATAAAAGCCCTTTTAGATGTTCCGGATGTTTTCGCTCAGTCCGAGTTGGATGATTCGGATAAGTATCCCTCCGACCACCCAATGACGATGGAAGTGACGAAAATGCGCAAAAAGTGGGACGATGCCATTGCCAAACTACACCAAGAGGTGTTCGGCTTGAAGCAACCTTCCCAAAAGCCCACTAAGGCTGCGAAGAAGCCCCAGGATAACGGGGTGGACTGGATCCAGATGCTCCCCATATGGATTGTGAAGAAAATCCTCAACTATTTCGACCAGAAAACCCTGCAGTCTTTGAAAAAGGTCAACCGCTACTGGGCGTTCGTTTGTGATGGCCTGATCAAGGATCGGCAGACGAAAGTGTTGTTAGATCAAGCCATTCAAAGGCTGCGACCCAATTTGGAGGGCCAACAGTTGTGGAACAATCAAGCCTGTTCAAAGGCCAGGAATCCAAGAGAGAAGAGGCTGGATGGGCTGTTGATCAGAGGAGCAGTTCGGGAGAACATGAGACCAAAAGTGCGGAAGACCCAACAGGTTCACACCAGCTTGGTCACATCTCTGCCCAAGGCTGCCAGCATTTGCAAACCTTTGGAGAAAATTGCAGTTTTTCCCCGTCTAATCCGAGAGGATTTGCTGCTCTACACGCGCTACCCTTGCGTGCTTAAAGACGTCAACATCGTTGTCGATTTGGAGGAACATCGGCGTACCCTCAGCTACTCTTTGTCCCGACAGCTCAGCGACACGTTCAGCTTGAGCGAAGTCAATTTGTCCGATTGGTAAGACTCGCACATCTACTAACAAAATTTCCAGTACTCACGATCAGTGCCATGCTCGATGGTGGCTCCCCATCCCACAGTGGTGCAAACGGTGCCAGAAACTGGCGCTTTCAGGTACTGGCTGCCAGCAGTGCGCTGAGAAGGCAGGCAAATTGGGCGCACGTGCCTGTTGTATCTGATGGGAGCTGAGAGCTTGATCAGCGCTAGAAATTAGGGGTTTTTCGTCAACTTGAAGGGTTCTCTTTGACTGTGGCTTACCGATGTCGTTGCGCAAGAACTCCTTATCGTAATCGGGATGTGAAATTATTGTTCTGGCCCAGCGGCGCTGATCCATAGGGGCGTAGGAGAAGCGCCGAAGAGTTCCTGCCTGTATTTCGTAATAGTACTGCCAGTATCTGGGAAATAAATTGGGTTTTTGGCACACTTGGCTTTATAAAACACATACAAAAGAGACTGTTTGACTTGGTTAATTTTTGAATCAATAATTGCTAAATTCCGCAAATTGGCAAATTTGAAAAATTATCAAAAATTGCCTGATGATGACTGAAAATCAAAATATGGAGCACTTGTTCTCATTTCTCTTAACATTTTCAAGTCCGGCGTGCAAAAATCACCTCAAAAACCAAGCGTGATTTTAAATTTCAGAAAAAATGCCTGATCTGAAAACTAAAACTTTTACCAGCTTTTTAAATGTTGTGTTATCATACAAAATGCATTCATTACAATACAAATTTCAATACAAAATGAAAAATTGAATACAAAATTCATTGCAAAATGCCTTGCAAAGGAAAATTTGCAAGTTTATTGGTTTTGCGAAAAATTAATGCCAAACTTAATCCGCATTAAAAACAAAAAAATTGAAAATAGCCTGATGATGACTCACAATCGAAACTTTTTCCACTTGTAGAGCTGAATTTACCTTATAAAAACCGTGCAGAAGTAAGTTTCCAACTTTGCAAATTCGTAACCAAATAAATGTGAAACGTTGACCTGCAAAAATATCCTCCAAAAGCACATATAAATTTGAAAAATTCTTGAAAATTGCTTAAGAGACTTTACTGTATAAAATATAGTCAAAAAAATATCTATCTTCACTGGTTTCTGAGAAAATAAATGTCAAACTTTCGTCTGTATAAACGACCAGAACTGAAAAAAAACCCTTAGAAGAGCCTGATGATGACTCAAAAGCCAAACTTTTTCCATACATAGAGCACGCTTTGCTCTAGCAGAGACACACAAAAGTACATTTCCAGCTTTATTGGCTTTGAAGAAAATAAGTGCCAAACTTAAGCCTGCATCAGCAACCACAAAATTTTATCGCAAATAAAAAATGATAATAAATAGCCACACCATTCATATGCGAAACTTTTGCCACTTCTAGAGATCACTTTGCCCTAAATGTTGTGCAAAATTAACCGTTTCTAACCTTGCAAGTTCCTGTGCAAATTAAGGCAAAACTTCCACCTGCTTAAATATTCGATAAAATCACATGAATTTGCAAAAACTCTTAAAAATTGGATAATGAGGACTAAAAATCAAAAAATTTTCACTTATAGGAAGGATTTTGTTCTGCAAAACAACCTTGTAAATCAGGCGCAATTTTGAAAATGTTTCAAAAATTGCCTGAAGTTGACTGAAAAGCTAAGATTTGTTGACTTTTAGAAGAGACTGTGCGGAATCAAAAGTTCAGTTTTTCACTTGGCAATTCTTGAAAACTTGTTTTCTAACATGGTTTGCGAACGTCTATGTCCTCTGAAAATCACGTCGATGTCCCGTGGAAACTTTGGTAATTTTGACGATCCTTTTACGTGATTATCACGTGACGCTTCCGCCTTCATTTCGTTAATTCTGATGTACTTCATATGTAGAAGTACATCAGTAGGGCGCATTTACCATTTTTTAAACTGATTTTTATAACTGGAGGAAATGGTGGCGGCTGCACAGAACATTCGCCACGAACCTCGCGAAATTAATTTTTGCTCATTATTATTGGTAAAACTGAATCTGGTGAGTTTTTTTGAGTTTTTACGCCGTCCTACAACAGAATTGCGTTCTGACGTTTCGCAAATACGAATGGCTGAGGTGGTTCGCTTCCTCGCAATATATCTTATGTTGGTGGCTTCCGCTACTAATCTAACCAGCAATTCTTAGTCAAGCCAAGACTTTCTTCATTCTTTGACGAGAAACTTCTTCACAATTCTGTGAAGAACTGTCTTAAATCAACCTTACCTGACGACGCAATGGGCGGCTGTAACAACCCACATTTCATTGATGAGCACGCCAGCGCAATGAAAAATCCCATTTTTGTAGATGGACACCAGCCAAGGCCAGGCCGAAGGCTGACTTGGCCTGCCGCCCACCACTCGACTATCCACATGTCTGCGCTTGAGCGTGCGTTCCAAGTTCTGGATGACTTCGCCCAATGAATCCTCTTGAATCTTCTCCTCCTGTTCTTCCGCCAGCCCTAGAATGTCCTCGCGCATTTGGTAGGCCTTGCGCAGGTCGTTCAGCATGTCCTCCACGCTGGTGTCCAACTCCTGGTCGCGGTAGGGGTTGGTCACATGGAAGCGAAGGCCGCAGTAGATGGGCGGACACTCCACAAAGGCCGCCCGGTCTTGGACGCACGTGTTGACCAGGCGAATCTCGTTGTTGGGCAGGATGTTGATGAACAGGCCATTGTAGGGCTGGGAGGTGAAAGTCATGTGGGTCTTGGGCACTCTGGAAGGTTTCGATTGGTTAAACCAAGCTGGAAATGGGGCTGGTTCTAGTTGAGTTACATAGCGCTGGGGCCGGCTTCCACTTGGCACACCTCCGCAGCCCAGAGCTCAGTGCCGTAACACGTTGGGTACCATTTTCCTTTGAAGTTGCGGTGCAAAAAGCCCACGGAGTTGGAGACTTTGTTGATGGGGAAGTTGCCGAGACGGTCTGCCAAGATGGAGCAGTCCATTTCGTCTTTGCCGGTGATTTCGCACTGTTTGATGCCGTCGCATCTCTGGCTCAGCGGGATGCAGCTGGATCTTCGGTACTTTGACCAATCGTCGCAGGAGAACTCGTTTTCAGCGCATCCTACCAAAAACTCACTTAGACTCGGATCTTTCTCCAGAACTCCCCAAAAAGACTCACCAAAACAGCCGCTTTCGTCTTCACATTGCGGACAATCGCAGTAGCCATCGCACATCCTCAGTCTGCCCACTCTCTCCCTGCAAGTGCAGGCGATTTCATCGGTTGAATCCCCACACTGCACTTCGTTGTCACAAATGTAGTGGTTTTTTATGCACTTGCTGTTGTCCAGGCACGACCGTTCGCCCAGAGGGCAAATCAGCTGCCCAGCAGCTCGGGACATGTTGCTGAAACCCTCAAACTCAAACCCCCGCCCAATCACTCCTCTAATCCTCCTACCTTCCGCGTGAGAGTGAATCTTCAATTTCCCCAATCAGATCCTGCAGGTTGGCGGACTCTCTCCTCACCTCCGTGCCAGAAAGTCCCACTATATTGTTGGAGGGAGTAGGGATGGGGTTGCACATATAATACTGTCCAGCAGAGGAGGAGACCTGTATAGGGGGGCTAGGAGTCATCACTAAACGGCCCTGAGGAATATAGGAGTTGGATGACAAAAAGTAGCCTGATTGACTGGGAGGAACACTGTAGAACATGGGCGGATTTATGACGTACATTGGATTGGGCTGTGACCTGGCTTGGGCGCCTGGTACCACTTTCAGGTACCCAGAATCCATGGGCGCTCCCGATTGGCCGGAAGACGGAAGTACTCCCATATATGGGGGGTAGAAGCAGGGATTCGTGTAGGCCTGTTGAACGGCCTGCATCTCCTCCATCGCACTCACTTGCTTGGTTTTCAATCGAAAGTCCTCCGAGTTTGAAGCAGCACGCATATTTTCGCTCTGGCTCCTAGAAAGTTCTGTTTCTTGCCTCAAAGAGGGTTGAGTGGTAGAAGAATGCCCCATTCCAAGGCGGTCATTTGCATCGCCTTCTACCAGCAAAGCAGGCTCGGACTGTTTCATCAGCAAAAAGTCTTCTTTGCTACCCAGTGGTTCTGTAGGGTAATCTTCAGTAGTGAATGATTCTTCAGTAGTGAGTTCGTTAAATCTAAATTCGGAAAAAAATGCCCGAGGACTTTGCAAGCCGGTAGACGTGGTACTGAGGACCTTCAGTTTGTCGCCGAATTTTGTAACTAGTGGTTGCTGCTGTGGGATTCCCAGAATGTCTTCGTCGTTGCTTCTGAGCTCAGATGGTTTTTCAGTGTTTTCTGAGGCGCTGGATGTGTTTTTGACGACTTTCACTTGATCCCCAACCTTTGAAAGTTTTTGTGGTTCCTGTGGAATTCCCATCGTGCCTTCGTCGTTGCTTTGGAGCTCAGAAAAAACTTCACCGCCGTTTTCAGAGTCGCTAGATGAGTTTCTGAGGACTTTTACTTGGTCGCTCAACTTGGCAACTTTTGGTGGTTTTTGTGAAATTCCCAGCGTGTCTTCCTCGTTGTTTTGGAGCTCAGAAAAAACTTCACCGGGGTTTTCAAAGTCGCCAGAAGAGTTTCTGAGGAGTTTTACTTGGTCGCCCAATTTGGAAACTTTCGGTGGTTTCTGTGGAATTCCCAGCGTGTCTTCGTCGTTGCTGTGGAGTTCAGAGAAAACTTCACCGCCGTTTTCAGAGTCGCTAGATGAGTTTCTGAGGAGTTTTACTTGATCGCCAAACTTGGCAACTTTCGGTGGTTTCTGCGGAATTCCCAGCGTTACTTCTTCAGTGCTTTGGAGGTCAGGAAAAACTTCACCGCCGTTTTCAGATTCGCTAGAAGAGTTTCTGAGGACTTTTGCTTGGTCGCCCAATTTGGAAACTTTCGGTGGTTTCTGTGGAATTCCCAGCGTGTCTTCGTCGTTGCTGTGGAGTTCAGAGAAAACTTCACCGCCGTTTTCAGAGTCGCTAGATGAGTTTCTGAGGAGTTTTACTTGATCGCCAAACTTGGCAACTTTCGGTGGTTTCTGCGGAATTCCCAGCGTTGCTTCTTCAGTGCTTTGGAGCTCAGGAAAAACTTCACCGGCGTTTTCAGAGTCGCTAGATGAGTTTCTGAGGACTTTTACTTGATCGCTCAACTTGGCAACTTGTGGTGGTTTTTGTGGAATTCCCAGCGTGTCTTCGTCGTTGCTTTGGAGTTCAGAGAAAACTTCAAGGCCGTTTTGAGAGCCGCTAGATGAGTTTCTGAGGACTTTTACTTGGTCGCCCAACTTGGCAACTTTTGGTGGTTTTTGTGGAATTTCCAGCATGTCTTCGTCGTTGCTTTGGAGCTCAGAAAAAACTTCACCGGTGTTTTCAGAGTAGCTAGATGAGTTTCTGAGGACTTTTACTTGGTCGCCCAACTTGGCAACTTTTGGTGGTTTTTGTGGAATTCCCAGCGTGTCTTCGTCGTTGCTTTGGAGCTCAGAGAAAACTTCAAGCCCGTTTTGAGAGCCGTTAGATGAGTTTCTGAGGACTTTTACTTGGTCGTCCAACTTGGCAACTTTTGGTGGTTTTTGTGGAATTTCCAGCGTGTCATTGTCGTCGCTTTGGAGCTCAGAAACAACTGCACCTGCGTTTTCAGAGTCACTAGATGAATTTCTCAGGACTTTTACTTGGTCACCCAACTTGGCAACTTTCAGTGGTATCTGTGGAATTTCCACCGTGTCATCTTCGGTGATTTGGAGTTCAGAGAAAACTTCACCGCCGTTTTCAGAGTCGCTAGATGAGTTTCTGAGGACTGTTACTTGGTCGCCAAACTTGGCAACTTTCGGTGTTTTCTGTGGAATTCCCAACTTGTCTTCTTCGGTGCTTTGGAGCTCAGGAAAAACTTCACTGGCGTTTTCAAAATCGCCAGAAGAGTGTCTGAGGACTTTTACTTGGTCGACAAACTTGGCAACTTTCGGTGGTTTCTGTGGAATTCCCAGTGTGGCTTCTTCGGTGCTTTGGAGCTCAGGAAAAACTTCACCGGCGTTTTCAGAGTCGCTAGATGAGTTTCTGAGGACTTTTACTTGGTCGCTCAACTTGGCAACTTTCGGTGGTTTCTGTGGAATTCCCAGCGTGTCTTCGTCGTTGCTGTGGAGTTCAGAGAAATCTTCACCACCGTTTTCAGAGTCGCTAGATGAGTTTCTGAGGAGTTTTACTTGACCGCCAAACTTGGCAAGTTTCGTTGGATTCTGTAGAATTCCCAGCGTGGCTTCTTCAGTGCTTTGGAGCTCAGGAAAAACTTCACCAGCATTTTCAGAGTCGCTAGATGAGTTTCTGAGGACTTTTACTTGGTCACTCAACTTGGCAACTTGTGGTGGTTTCTGTGGCATTCCCACCGTGTCTTCGTCGGTGCTTTGGAGTTCAGAGAAAACTTCAAGGCCGTTTTGAGAGCCGCTAGATGAGTTTCTGAGGACTTTTACTTGGTCGCCCAACTTGGCAACTTTTGGTGGTTTTTGTGGAATTTCCAGCGTGTCTTCGTCGTTGCTTTGGAGCTCAGAAAAAAATTTATCGGTGTTTTCAGAGTCGCTAGATGAGTTTCGGAGGACTTTTACTTGGTCGCCCAACTTGGCAACTTTTGGTGGTTTCTGTGGAATTCTAAGCGTGTCTTTGTCGTCGCTTTGTAGCTCAGAAACAACTGCACCGGCGTTTTCAGAGTCACTAGATGAGTTTCTGAGGACTTTTACTTGGTCACTCAACTTGGCAACTTGTGGTGGTTTCTGTGGCATTCCCACCGTGTCTTCGTCGGTGCTCTGGAGTTCAGAGAAAACTTCAAGGCCGTTTTGAGAGCCGCTAGATGAGTTCCTGAGGACTTTTACTTGGTCGCCAAACTTGGCAACTTTCGGTGTTTTCTGTGGAATTCCCATCTTGTCTTCTTCGGTGCTTTGGAGCTCAGGAAAATCTTCACCGGCGTTTTCAGAGTCCCTAGATGAGTTTCTGAGGACTTTTACTTGGTCGCTCAACTTGTCAACTTTTGGTTGTTTTTGTGGAATTCGCAGCGTGTCTTCGTCGTTGCTTTGGAGCTCAGAAAAAACTTCACCGGTGTTTTCATAGTCGCTAGATGAGTTTCTGAGGACTTTTACTTGGTCGCCCAACTTGACAACTTTTGGTGGTTTTTGTGAAATTTCCAGCGTGTTTTCATCGTTGCTTTGGAGCTCAGAAAAAACTTCACCGACGTTTTCATAGTCGCTAGATGAGTTTCTGAGGACTTTTACTTGGTCGCTCAACTTGGCAACTTTCGGTGGTTTCTGTGGTATTCCTTGCGTGTATTCTTCGTTGATTTTCAAGTGAAAAGGTGTGTCTGAAGTTGAATCTTCTGTGAGGAATTTTACCTGTTGGTCTAATGTTGACTTTCCAGGCCGGTTATGATCATTTCCCCCGTAGCTGTCTTCATTGTTCGTTGAATCCATATTTAGTGGTTGAAGTAAACCAGCTCTTTGCGCTTGATCCGGCAATTCTCGTTGGGGTTGAACCAACCATCTACTGTGTTCATTACCAAAGCTGGCTGAATCAGGTTGCATCCTTGCTTCTAGCCTTTGATTGAACTCCATAGCTTCTTGTGAAGCAGGTCCTGTTTCTGGATAAAAATCGTTAAAAACATAAGCTCTCTCCTGCTTGGGTGCAATTGTAATATGTTCCAGAATCTGCTGAACGACACCATCATGCAAAGGCCGTTCGAAAATGCTTTGCACCAGAGGCGATTCTCGGTTTTCGCTCCTAGTCCAGTCGCTATTCGCTCCTCTTTCCACAAATGCTGGCTCAGACTGTCGGACGATCTGTTCGAACGGATCAGGATCCGATGCTAGGTTAAAGTGCCAATTTTGAGTGTTTCGAATCTTGGGATATAAGGAACGCCAAGGGTTGGTCTGCATTAAAAATTCTCCTGAATTAGGCAACCGTTGTGGGCGTAAATGTGGAGGAATTATTTCAGGCCGATTGTCGACCTCTGCACTCTTGAACTCCTCATACTCTATAAAGTGATTTTCATAATCATACTCTGAGTCGGGGTAATCAATTTCGCGTTTCTTCCTACGCTCCTCCTCAAACTCCTTCAGGATGCTTAGCATGTTGTTTACAGTGCAATAATCCGTCAAAATTTCCAGGTCGGTTTCGCGGAAAACCTCACAGCATGAATCTAGAGTTTGTTCCAATTTGCAGGCTTCCATTGCGGTATTTTCCAGATAGTTTCCAGACTTTAAGCGATCGCGGAATAAGGCCTCATTTAGCCCTTTGGTTAATGCAATAAAATCAGTGGGGGGTTGTTTGGGTGGATATTCGCGGAAGCTGATGGGGATGGCTGGCAGCAGGTGAAACTCTGCAAACATTTTTAGTTTTCCCATGTTTCTGAAATTTTTCAGGTTGACTTACCTTTATTGAGGACAGTGATAATGGCCAAGCCCAGAACTAAGGTCAAAATGGTGCAAAGCGCCCAAAGCAGCTTGGAAATGTATCGCATTTGGGCAGCGTGTTTTGATTTGGATCTGGCTGCGTTGGTTTCTAAACTCAATTAAGTTTGTGGAAGTTTTTATTTCGACGCAAATTTGTTCATTTACCAGCCTCTGCGTCTTCCAGCTTGTTCAAGTCGATTGTGGTCATTCCAGAAGGTTCTTTGAAGGGTTCCGGGCTGGAGGAGGCCGACTTTCCATCCTCCCCGCTCTTCTTTTTCTTGATAGCGCCTTCGGCGGCTTGAGGCGACACCATTTTTCACTATTCCTGATTCTGGGTCATGCAATCCTTTTTTGACTGAGCACTAATGACTGTTAACTGGGTACTAACAGAGTGGAGTGGGCGTTTTTTCCTAATTCGCGTCTATGACCCATTTTTTGCTGCATTTTCATTGAGTCGACAGAAAATCGCTTGCGCAACTGTTGGGCAAACTTGCGGTCAGCAGTTTGGTTAGTGGGTCGAGTAATTAGAAAACTCACTACTGGTTCCTAGAGCTGAAACCCAAGGAAAATGGTCTTGAAATTCTAGCTTTTGGTTGTTCGGGAATGTACATTTTTACTTTCAAGTGCGGTTTTTCCCATTATGGATTTTTTACTCGGGAATGCCTGCATTAGGAAGCAAGCAGTTCTTTGCAAATTGTGAGAGTTTCATGCCACGATCATCATCAGGAACTGCTAGAAGACTATTAAGAAAAAAAGCGTTTATTCACAAATTTATTTAGCAAAACTTGATAGAGCGATTTTGCGATATTTACGTTAAAAAGTGAGCAGATTTTTTTGAATTAGCGAAGATTTCATGTCTTGAGCATCATCAGGGACCAGTGGGAGAATTTTGGAAAAAACACGAATTTAAACTGTTTAAGAAAGAGTCTAGAAAAATCGTTTTACGAAATCTGATAGATGTAGACACTTGCGTTACTTGCTCCAGAAAGAGAAAATATTTCTTTGCAACTTTGTTCTTTGAAAGTTTCGTGCTCCGGACCTAGTGGGGGATGTTCGCAAAAAACCCACTGGAAACTGTGCACAATTTTATTCAAAAACTCATTTAGCAAAAACAGATATTTACAGAGAGTCTGGGAGTTCTGCGTTAGAAAAGAAAAGACTTCTTTTGCAAGGTTTGAAAGTTTCATGCCAATAGCATCATCAGGCAGTTGTGCATGATTTTTCAAAGAAAAAACCATTAGAAACTCTGCATGATTTTGTTAAACAAATCGATTCGCAAAAACGGTTAGATTTTAAATTTTTGCTTCCGAAAGAGAGAAGATGATTTATACAATACTTGAAACCTGAACTTTCACTATTGCTGCAACGGTGCCAAGCAATAGAGAAGAAAATATAACCCTTTTTTGGCGCAAAAACTTTTATATGCAAAAAACCACTCTAATCTGGTCGGTTATTCCTTCTGGGATTAGTCAATCAGTGCCGTGCTTGGAGGCTCGGGACAACTTCAGGGTTCAACACTGTTAAGTGTATTTGTTGTACCGAGCCCTTCGGGCACGACACTGATTTGAATGCGAAAAGTGAACATTTGACGAATTTAGACTCATTTTTGCCTCAAAACCAGTGTCGTGCCCGAAGGGCTCTGCACAAGATCGACATCCAACTCAGTCAAATGTATTTTTTTCTCTTTCTAAAACTATTCAAAATCCGAAATTGGTTTGCCTAGAGGGGAATTTTGAATTTGCCGCCAACTGTTGTTGATCACACTGACAAACCAGTTGAAAGTTGCGTTTGTCACAGAGTTTTTTTGGCTATTTCTATTAAAATCTGGTGAAAATTAGTGAAAACCAAGCACATTTTTGATTCTGCGTAAAAAACGAGAAAATTTTGAATTTTCCGCCAACTTTTGTTGACCACACTGACACTGACAAGCCACTCAAACCAGTGGTCAACACAGATCACAGAGTAACCTCTGTGGTCTGTGGTTGTCAATCTGAAAGTTGCGTTTGTCACACTGTTTTAATTGCTCGGTTTTTTTAATATTTCTATTAAAATCTAGTGAAACTTAGTGAAAATTAGTGAAAAAACTCTTCCTAGAGGCCGTTTGTACATATCGAGGGAGTTAAAATGCTTCTGCCAACATTCGGCTGCTCACCCAGTGTACAGCAGAGTCCTAAATAGAACATCGGTAAGTGTCCTCTTTGCCCTAAAAAATGTAAACTATGTACAAAAGTAGGAATATACAGTGTGGCCCACAAAAGTTTGGCTCGTCTATTAGCTTCAGCGCATTTGAAAACAGCTTTTGCTTAACTGCAAAATCACTTAAAGGTAAAGTAGGTAGCTGGGAATTAACAATCCCACTAGAAACGCTTTATCAACGGAAAACTCTTTGACGGAGCAGTTGATAAACAACGCAGGACACGAGATGGAGTTTCATTTCATCGGGCCTTAAAAAGATCCCCAATGACACTGTCGAAGTATCAGTTTCGCCCCTTATTTTAAAACGCCATCCGAATTGATCCAAAGTAACATTGTAACCCGACTATCGAGTTACGCGCTTCTTGGCAATTGTTGTCTCTTCGGTTGCCATCAAACGATGCCGTTTTTGCATAATTTTTAGAGAGCTGAACGCCAACAGCAATTTAGCACCGCCCATGATGTGAATGGGCTTTGAACGACAAAAGCGGGAGGAAAAGCAGCGCTTTTCCGCCGGGGAAAATTAGAAAGGCCAATTGGGCTTCTTTTGAAGTGTCACTGGCACGCGTGCATACGCTTTACGTGGCTAAAAAGGAGAGTGAAATTTTAGGATTTTTTTAATGGAAGACCCACGCATTTTTTCTTTGTCATGTTTTAATGGCAAACAGTAGAATCTGGCAGAAATTGCTGGAGAGTTTCAGCACTAGTTGGCACCCCTTGACAGCTTAAGGCTAAAAAAATCAACTTGAAGCCACTGTGGAACCTTCCCCTGCCTTTGTTGTGCAAAGGGCTCGTTTTGCCACTTCACAGATCACAAGGGAAGAAACCCCTTCACTCAACCCGTATAATATGCGCGGATTAAGAACAGGCCAGCGACCTGATTAGATTCATTTGCAAACTATACCGGGCGTTTCGAGCCCTCGGGGGGCATTCTTAGGCTTTTGGGGGTCCCTAATGAGCACTCACGTGGTTATTTTCGCTGCTGGAGACTCGCCCATCGAAGGGCGCGCTGTTTCACGTCAATCGCCCAGTTTGAACCCTTTTGTGGGGTAACAAGGGCCCAATTTTCTTTCGCTATAAATCGCATGTGAAATTAGAACTGTTCCAATCATATAAGTGGGTTTTGATCAAAAGCCCTGTTGCCAATCGCCTTAATTGTCTGGAATGTTTGAAAAACTTGCTTCCTTGTCCAAGTAGAAAATGGTAATTTGAGCGATAAATACGCGAAGGGGTTTTTGAAAATTTAATATGTTTAAATATGGTCAATAAATGGCAAAACCGGTTTTATTGATGCGTTATGCGGGCAGCAATTTAAAATTTGGTTGATCGCACATATTTTATTTAATAATCGCCTCGTTAATGCGTGCACGTCGCCATTATGAATTGCTAATCAAGCTAATAACAATAAAATTAAACATGCATAGCCGTAGATTTTATATTTATTGCGATTTTACATATTTCATCCAAATTTTGCGGTCAGGTTTTAACTGCCCATTTTCGCGTTAATAATTTCATCAACGGTGTAATTCGGTTTTGTATATTTGTTGTGTCGGAAAAAGCCGTTGATATATCGAAGGAATTAACCCTCTAAAGCCAGTGGGTTGTTGTCTTTTATTAAATTCATAACTCGCAAATGATGTGTGAGCCAAACTGCTGTGTTGCGAAACGTTGCTTGTTTATGAGTTGTGAGTGAATGTATCTATTTCAGGCTTTAATTTTTGTTTTTTTTTTAAACATTTTTAAAATCTGGCTCGTTTTCAAAACTTGTCAATGCGCTGTTGATTTAAAAAATTATTTCAAAACGTGCTTTGCTGCGTTTATAGGGGAGTAGGTCTCAAATTTGTGTCTATTTCAGGAATATTGTGAGAATTTTTGAACCTGCCGCTTTCGTTACAAGGTGATTATATACAGATTTTTTAAAGATAATCCATAATTCTGCATTTCATACAAAAAAGTTAGCTATTTATTGCCGAAAAGTTTAAAATGTTTATCTATTTGAGGCACTTTATGAGAATCACTCAAAACATGCGGTCTTCCCAAGGCTGGTTTATACGCGGTTCTGTCAGCAATTTAGTAACTGGGAATCGATGTGAGAATGCATGAATTGAGTTGCTTTGTTTTCTTTGGAGGAAAGTTGATCGTTTAGCGTCAGAAAGTTTAAAAAATTCAATCCATTTAGGGCATTTCCTTAGGACTGTTCGAAACCGGCCCGTTCTTTAAGGCTTGCTCATGCACATTTTTTTAAAAATTCATAATACTTAAACGAAGCGGCATTGAAAAATGTGCGTTGCTGCGTTTTATAGAAAAAATTACGGAGTTTATTGCGGGATAGGACCAAATGTGTATCTATTTGAGGCATTTTCTGCAAAATTTTCAAACCTGGAGTTTTTCTTGAAGAGTGTCCTTGTACAGTTTCTTAAAAAAATTGTAACTGTGAAACAATGCGAAAGCCAATTCTAAGCGATATTGCGTTTAATGGAAGAGAATTGGTTTTGTTGTAGCTGGGAAGTGCGAAATTTAGATCTTTTTTGGACCATTTTCTGAGAATTTCTAAAATCTGGCTTGTATTTTTGAGCTTGTCCATACACTATTTTCTTTCAAAAATCATGACTTTGAAACAAAGTGCAAATCAAAATTCTGCATTTTATAAGTTTATTAGAGAAAAGTTCGAAGTTTCTAGAGAGAGTCTCAAATGCGTACCTATTTGAGGCAATTTTTGATAATTTTTCAAAGCTTGCATTTCTCTTAAAGCCTGCCTGTCCATGTATATGTACACTGTTTCTTTAAAAAATTCATAGCTCCGAAATTAAACGTTTGCAATAATGCTTCTTATAGAAGAGGTTGTTTTCTTACTGGAAGGGTTCAAATGTGGGTCTATTTTGAGCCATTTTCTGAAATTTGTAAAATCTAGCGTGTTTTTTAGGGCTCCTCCATACGTTATTTTTGTAAGAATTTCATACCTCGGACACCAAGCATCAATCAAAACTGCCAGTTTGCTCCGTTTTATAGAAAAAAGTTCAAAATTTAGAATTTGGCCATTCTAAATCTCAAATGTGTACCTATTGGAGTCATTTTCTGAGAATTTTTTAAAACTGGGGTTTTTCTTCAAATCTATTAATGTACACTTTCTTTAAACATTTCGTCAACCGCCATTGTCGTGAATAAAATGTCGTGAACCGGCAGTTTATAGAGAAAAGTTGGTTCTTTATAACTGGAAAGTTCCAAATCTGAATCTATTTGCGAGATTTTCTGAGAATTTGTTAATTCTGGTTTGTTCCTTTGGGTTTGTCCATGCATTGTTCTTTGAAGAAATTTATAACTCAGAAATGAGGCCGACATAAAAACTGCGCGTTGGTGCATTTTATAAAGAAAAGTTCGTAGTTTATTACGGGAAAGTCTCAAATGTGTTCGTATTTAAGGCAATTTCTGAGAATTTTTCAAAACTGGTGCTTTTGTTAAGCCTGTTTATGTAGATACAGTTTTTTTTTTAATTATGTCTTTGAAACCAATGCGAAAGCGATTTCTAGACGATACTGCATTATATGGAAAGAGAGTTAAGAAGGTTTTTTATGGCTGAAAAGTTTCAAACTCGGACCTATTTTGGGATATTTTCTGAGATTTTCTAAAATCTGGCTTGTTTTTTTGAGCTGATCCACTATTTTGTTAAAAAATTAATGACTCGGATACCAAGTGCAAATCAAAATTCTGCATGTGCTGAGTTTTATAGAGACAAGTTCGAAGTTTCTAGTGGGAAACTCTCAAATGTGCACCTATCTGAGGAAATTTTTGAGAATTTTTCAAA